CTTGCAGAACCCAGAACTAGTTCTCCAATCCTCCTATAAGGTATCGGAGGCTCAATTACAGTTCCATTTTTGTTAGGCTGGTTTGAAGAAGCACATACATGATCATCTTTTTTCTTTTAATTTACAATTGTACCTATTATTCCATTTCTACATACTCACCAGGGAAGGAAACTCCTATAAATATGAAGTAAATCTGGGGTACTGTATTTCAGAGCCAGATATGCCAATATGAGTTTAATTCTAACCTAAAAGATTCTGGCCCTTAAAGAGACAACCCTTCTCCTCCTCACAGAATACCATATACTCCCACAATATAGACATATGTACATGCCCAAGACACATGCACTCCTCCATTCTTTCTCCTACTCTTGCATAGTCACATGGCAATCTTATGCAGGATTATCTTCCTGCAGTTCCTAGCTTGTTGTTAGTATGAACCAGGAAACATGATTTAAGTTAAACTGTAGTCAATTACTCAAACACACCAACTACAATTGTTGGGCTGCACTGCATCTAGCAACTGACAAGAGTGATTGGCTTAAACCACAATATAACAAGCCAAGAAATGAATCTTGGTTAAGTTACGTTCCTGGTGATGATGGCAGTTGCTACTTGTGCCAGAGGTTTTTTTCTGGGATCACACGGGCTTGTCCACACAGTGCTTAATCCTGTTTTAGCGCTATGTACCAAGCAGGCCTGTGGGATCTTAAAGTTTTACAGGATAAAGGAAACTTGCCATTTCAGTGCAAGAAACAAAAGTTAAGTAAAACATTTTGAAAAGGAAATGAATAGAAGACCATGGCTGAAGCAAGGACACATGGCTGAAAAGTGACTGCTTGTAACTTGACCAATGGGATGAGAAACACCCAGGGATTACTGGACCATTTGGCTTTGCACACTGCCAAATTCCAGCTCTTATTTTATACTTTGGCAACCATAATATTGAACAGCCAGGAGTTTCCTCAATTCAGCTAGAAACAAGATCAAGCATTTACCATGTATTCCAAAATCCCAGCTTCAGGATAGAGGAGTGGCAGCTCAGGGAACAATTTCTGCACCAGATGATTGAGCTTCTCCTAAAGTAAGAGATAAATTCCACAATACCAATCCAAACATGAAAACAAGGCAAACCAGTATATTGCAAACTATATTACCTGCTGTTTTATTCTGTAGGACCACAAGTGGCAAATTTGCAATCAGGAAGTGATATAGGGCTGAGCATTCATGGATAACTGATCTCCACATTACATTTCCAGATTATTCCCCACTCCCCAAGGCAGAACACTTACACCTGCCAATACAAGAGCCATGGCTACTTTATTAACTCAAAGAAAAGCAGCTACAAGAAGATATGTTTATATTCTTCTGAAAAGAGCAACATCTCTAGCCTGCACAGCTGGCTTTCTTAACTAGTTAACTAAAGAATCCGTCTGGTTTGCCAGGATGGAGACAATTTTGAGTTACCAGCTGGACTGTATAGTTTCAAAAATGAAAATGAACTGTCTGCTACTTCCTTGTTCCCTATGGTTCTAGGGACACTGAAACCATCACATCACATGGCAAAACCCTTCTCCAAATTACCTTAAGACTGACTGTGCAAGTATCTGAACTACAACATCAACTTGCCATCCTTTTCTTCTCCCTTCTTTCCCTACCCCTTCTACATCACTGCCTCAACCTACATGTGCAACATCTCACCTGACTGAGGGATCTGGAGACCTCAAAAGCTTCCACATTTTTCTGATGTTTGAGTTGGCCTAATAAAGCTATTATGGTTGCTTGATTAAAAAAAAAAACTATGGGTGTGATGAGAATTCAAAGCAAGGTTACTTACCTAGTCAAGCATCCTTGCTCAAATTCTTGGGAGTGGGAACACCTTTCCCCACACACATTCCTTATCATGGGGCAGTGGTGCTTTTTCACCCCAGACGTCTTTGCACAGTATTGAAATAGAGAACTCATATGTCACCAAGCACTTTCAGGGTTAGCAGGAGGACAACTGCCCATCCTTAACTTAAGACACAATGCCTGTTTACACAGAGGATAGTCCTTCAACTCTGGGAGCTGTCAAACCTTCTGTCTAGACATGATAGGATTACACCTTAATTCACCCTAATGTTCTATGAAAAAAAGACTTTACTCCTTTATTCGAAAATGAAATATTGCCACAAAGGCACCTTTATGATTTAGTGCTATGTATATCCTATTGTTATGAAGAGGCTGGACTGACTATGCAGAAAAGAAATTTAGATCCACTTCTCCACATACATCACAGGCATTCAATCTACAAGATTAAAGTAACTTTATACACTATATTGCATAATTCAGACCTGAACAATATTGTGTCCGTGACCCTATTGACCCTCAAAGTCCTTATTTTTTGCCCAGTGAGAAACCTTACACCTTTTAATTTCTATTGGAAAATATTTTTGTATTTTGCATCTGGCAGGTGGGATTGCTTAAAAACCAAGCAAAAGCCTCCCATGTGGCCATTTTAATTTCCCATGAATTCCTCTGGGCAGCTTACTTGTCCTTTTTTGCTAGCCACATTCATCCATTCTCCATTGGCTCAAAAGACTGCATAGTACCCACCAAGCAAGCACAAAAAGGATGAACAAATCTGAACTGGATATTCATTCTTCCAAGTTTACTCCAGATACATGCAAAATGAACACTCAGTTGGCACAATTCCTTATTTCAGCAGATTCCTATGGAACTGAATACTTACATATTCCTTTTGTTCCTTGTATATTTCCTGGAAGACACTATTTTGTAGTATACTGATTGCTTCCTTTAGTTTGGCTATTTCAGACTCGCTGCAATCATCAGACTGAAGGTAGAAAATTTGAAATGCATCACCCCAGAGGATTAAGGTATATTGTATCAAGTCACCATTTATTAGGAATGGATAATGTCACTTATTTCCAAACACACATTCAAAGCTAAAACTACTAGATCTATCAAGTTCATTTTCTTACTTTTCACCTGATAAAAGTTAATACTAGTTCAGTTAATACCCATTTCCTTAGAGTTTTCTTTCATTTTTGGCTTGGAAGCAGTCTTGAGACAAGTTAAAATGCAGTAGCTGGAAAGGGCAGAGGGGCTCAATTTTATGGCCAAAGTGCCACCGTCACGTTTTTTCACAGGCAGAATGACCTATTGACAACAATTTATCAGGACTAATTCAATACTACCAGTTATTTCCCACTGCAAGGAGTTCAGTTGACTAAAGAAGCAGCTCATCAAAGTTCTCAGCATAGAAAACTGCACTTCTCATGGTAAGAGTGAGAGAGCGGGGAGAAAAATACTGGTCTCCCAGATAGAATCATTCAACCCTTGTCTAAAATATTCAAGAGAGATGCTATTTCAGGGTTGCTCTTTCTTCAAAGTGTGCTTCCCCCTCTCCCAGAATAAAAAAGTTACACATTAAAAGAAGTTGAGCGTATCAAAAAACAAAAAAACAACTCAGAAACAAAGGCAGATAAATATTGCTAATGTTTCATTATATGAGATTGGAAAATTAACTTAAGCCAAGATTGAAACATAAAAAGTTTCAGATACCTATAATGTCACAATGTAGATGAGACAACTTTTTAATGTGAGCGCTTTAAAGAGTGGGAACCCATAAAATGAGTTTTATTGTTTCTCAAATGTAATAAAACTCTTCCTCTCTGATATACATCATGCATCTGCTAGTAAACTTAAAGGAAATTAAATAAATTCATAGATCAATGGCTACTATTAAGAGGCATGCATGCAGTAGCTATACTCTCTTCATTCCTGGCACAGAACTTCAACTGCTCCCCAACACTTCACCTTAGGCCTGCAATAACCACACCAGCAGCTTTTCAAGTGCTTCTAATACCACAGGCCTTTTATTCCATTTTTTCCAGGGTGGAATCATGAGAACTCACACACTGTTGGAAACTTAGGTGTGGGTTATTTATAGCCCTATTACCAATCAGAGATGCAATTCTCAGTGCTGATTGCCCACACTCTCCCTCCTACCCAGGCATCCTCAGTTGCAATTTGAAGAATACTGTGCCTGGTTTAAATGTTTTTTTTTCCAGTCATCTAATCCCTTTTTCCCCTCTGTTTTTTTCTGATATTGTATTTGTTTGTTTGAAGTTAGTCTGACTTGAGATTTTATTTTTAAACATTTTATATTCATTTATTTATGAATCAATTATGTTTGCATGTACAGTGATGTCTCAAGAGTTAGCTAGTGGCAACTTCTTCCATGCAGTCTGTCACTCTCATGGACATTAAGGAGTTCTCATCAGCTGAGTTCTGTCAGAAATGGCTTAAACATCAAAGCAACTTATTTCCATACCTCTTCCAAGTTGATTTTTTCTGCCAGCTTGCATCTCAGCTGAGCCTTTAGGTTTTTCATTCTCTTCTTAATCAGTAGCAAATCATCAATGGTAGGACTTGCATCCAGCCACTCTGTAATCTGTTTCTTGAACTAAAATGAAGACATAGTAAGAAACCATTTACATACTACAGAACAGGGATACTGAACCTCAGGCCTAGGGGGACAAACTCAAGCCAGCTAGGGTCCCATGCCCAGGATTGAGACAAACCCTTTTAGAATCCCTCCCTCAAGCACTTCACAGACTTCCTTTTGCACTCAGCCTGGTCCTGCAAAATGAATGTTCACAGAGCCCTGGTTGTGCCACCAGCAACCTTTCCTGTCAGAAGTGGCTACGGGATGCAGGAAAAGAGAACTGCAAGCAGGCGTGCCAGCCACCATTCCCAATCAACCTCTTCCCTGCTTGCTGCTGAAAGAGCAGCATGTGCAGGAAAGGGACACAGCTTACTCAGTGTATGGGGTTCAATTCCTGGTGACACCCTGCAAGCACTAGGCCTACACACCGGGAACTTGGACTCTGGGCCGCTGCCTGAACCAGACGAGGGCCCAATGAGCCAAGCTCCAGGAATCTGATGAAATGTTACCTCCAAATGGATTCCTCACACATCCCTAGCCATGTTCTCTTCTCCTGGGCACTACCGCCTTACCCAATCATTTGGTGGCTTCCTAGCCTGTGTACTTTTCCCCTATTCCTGAAATGCCCCTTCTAAAACTTTGATACTGGTAGTAAGAGCTATAAGCCTAAATATGGTGCTATGTTGGCCCCATCTCTTTTGCCTCTGAACCCTTCCACTACTGGAATACAACCCCAGAGAGCTTCTCCAAAACTGAATTCAGCTCTTGAGGTGAAAGAGATTCAATACCATTTGGACTGCAGTAAATAGACTGAGTAGTAGGGGGAAATCTGTACTTTTTGTTTTCAGAAAAACAAAATTACAGTGGTGTTGTAATAATTTTATTTTGCTATATTTTTAATCACACCTCATATATAACCTCAAACTTAATTCAACCTCAAACTGGGAACAGATTAATTCACTTTCATTATTTCTAATGGGGAAAATTGATTCGGACTTCGAACGATTGAGTTCAAATGGCCTCCTGAAATAAATTAAGTTCTAAGTACAAGGCATCACTGTAGCTACATTATAATAGTAGAATCTTTTAGAAAGCAAGTAGATTTTAGGATAATGCTAATACAAGATAAATATTTAAACCACAAGATTCTATTTACAAAGCATTACTTGGGTAACCTGGAAGCCAGTTTTATGATCCAAGACATCTCTAATAATTGTTCTGTATGTCTGAAAACATGATTAGAAAAACTGACCTCAACACTATTGAGATATTTTTGATAGATAACATGTAACAAATGTTGTTCCTGGTGGATCTTCTGCATAATCCCACTGTACGTGTTTAAAATTATTTTTTTATCAGCTTCTTCTACTTCCTAAATTAAATGAGAGAGAAGGAGGGAGAAAGACACCAAACCTACAGTTGCATGAAATTTGTTGATTTCAACAAAGATACAAAGACCATTCTTAATGTCAAGTTTGTGATGGCTTTATTCATAAAAAATAGGAATGAGACATTTCAAATTTTAAGAGATCATGAAACAGTTTAAGCCTTATATAAATAGTAAAATTAGAGTGTTGTGTTTTTGCTAACTTATCTAATAAAGAATAATTCTCATTTGAATTAAGACTTCCTGTTTCGCCATTATAAGGAGAACTGATTGAACTACTAATAATTATCGGCATGTAGCTTCTTTTAAACACAGTGAATAGGTTTAGCTACTACTGTCTGGAACTCTGTAAAATGTAATATAACAAGTGAAGACTTGCAAGAAATTTCTTGACAGTTTTGTGCACTTTGTGCTTGTTATACTCTTCCATCCCAACACATTTTTTAAAATACTGTACATTAAGTACATCAGCATTTTGATTTTAAATAGGAAGCATGACCCAATTAAAATATTTAACATAAGAAAGATCAGGACCAGTAGGAGGATTTTCCACTTTCCTTCTTTTGTTCTTTGTCTCCCACCACCCCTTTTCTCATGCATCTAAGGCTGAGTTATGAAATCTCAGGTCTGGGGGGTGGGGTCGTAATCCAGCTACCAGGGCTCTCTAGAAGGCCCTTGGCCTGGCCTACTTCCTGACACTGATGATATGATCATTTATTGGCTTTTGTGCAGTTTTTCCCCAGCCCAAAAAGGTTGAAATGCATCTTCTAAGGCTTACTTACTGGTGTTAACAAGAGCTTTAAGCTAAAATATGTCTATTTTTGATCTCACTCCTTTTGCTTTCTATTCCATTCACTACTGGAATGTTTACCTCCAAAATGGAATTCAACCTTCAGACTAAAAAGATATTGCGTATCTCCCTCCCCAGCCAAACTAAGGAGATCCTAGCATGAAAGCAACCTTTCAAAAGCATACACCTTTTGAAGTATTGCAGTACAGAAGGATGATACTTGCACTCTGATATATTTGAATGAGTATTCAAACACCTACAGTTCCTCATTCATAGGAATAAGCAGTACCTAGGTAGAAGATGATTACTTGCACATGTGAACTTCCTCAACTATTGAAATGGCACCTGGCTCCATGGAGTTGATTTTTGAGGCACTCACAGCAGCTGGACTGTTTCAGCTCAGGTTTCCCTAGCTCTGCTCCATAGAAGTGGCTTTGGGAACAATCACAGCCTAGGTTCACAGGATGAGCGTGGCACAACACTGAGTTCAGGATTATCATAATTTTGCAATAGCATCAGAGCACAAGGCAGAGAAAACCTTGTTATTTTTGTTCCTTATTATTGTTATTTTTTTCCTTCAGCACCCAAACTCAGGTTGTAGACAGACGGCTTGAGTGCATGGACCTGGCATAGGTACATGCTACCCAATCAACTCTCTACCTATATCGGGAAGGCCAAGGTGCAGGGGAAGAAAAAAAACATAGAAAGACCTAGAAGATATTGGGGGAGATCTTTTTTTTCTGAATTCTCAAAAAAACTCCCTGAGAAAAATGTTCGTGTTTCCTAAATTTTCTGAGTCTTCCCCTGCCCATTCTTTCCAGGCCTTCACATCTATATCCCTACCCCATTTGGTCCACAAGCTGAAGAGAAGTAGGACACTGTTGACTTCTAGTCAGCCCAACCAATATCCCTTGATTTTTCTGTGTGCCATGTTATGGTTTTTACTGATTTGCAGTGTGGGTTGAGGTAGATACATTTTGGTAGTTTAAGACAATGTTTTAATATATTCTTTTGTTATTGATTTAAACTATCATTTTAATGTTGAATGGATGCTACCCCCTCAGAAGAAACTGTCCTATGCAGGTGAACTGTAAATATTTTTGTATGAAATAGAATAAGGAAGCTTCCTATGTTCCTTCTGAGTCAGACTACTGGATCATCCAAGTTATTACTGTCAATACTTACTAGCAGTAGTTCTTCAAAGCTCCTGGTGTGATTTTTTTCTGCCCTGCCTGGAGATGCCAGGGATCAAACATGGGCAAAGCATATATCATACCACTGAGCTATGGCTTCTCTCCCTACAAGAGGGCTACAGCACTCAGTATTACCAGACAGTATCCCATCCAAGTATTAAACATAACTTCTCAGATCAGGCATCTTCAAGGTAGCATGACTGTAAACATGAGGCTATATTATATAGCCCTGGAAAACACACCCATTTGAGGGAGATCTGGAGAAGAAAGCCCATGTTTTTCCCCACTTCAACTCTCCCCATTCTTGGCACCAAGCCTATCCCAGACATACCCAAAACAAGGAGAGTGACCTACAAGGAGAGTAATAAACAAAGGACTGTGGGGTAGTGGAGGAGGGGGTAAAATGAAAGACATCCCAGCGAAACAGCAAGAAATAACTAGAAAAGGCAACTATAAGAAATATCACAGTTTGGTCAAATAATAACAAGTTATTAGGAATTAGAAAATGTAGTGAAATCTTCAAGAAGGAAATAGTACTTGTCTAGAGGGAACTGCTTGCACTAAATCTTGGACAATATGCCTTCTTACACTCTAATGAAATATTAAACAAGTGCTGTATTCAAAAGACACAAAGCCTTTTATAATACAGGTGGGGGCTTTTCTTTGAAAAAAGAAGGCTAACTTACAGTTAGAAAAATGTCCAATTCTTGGGAAATAGCCAACTCAACCTTCCTGAGAACCTCATCCACGTTTCCAGTGACATCCTCCAATTTCAAGGATACATCCAATGTTGTATCAAAGAACTTGAAGGCAAACAGAGAAGAAAAAATAGGCATCTACATAATATTGACAAGCTATGTCAGTAAATTAAGATTGTACAATGGATGAAAATAAAGCTGCAAGTTTTAAGATTATAGGTTCAACTTTGTTAAAAAGAGCCACTCAGCAACCCTGACCTTTTTCAGTATGACACTCATGTTGCACAATGGATGACATCCAACAGCATTTTCCAGTGTTGTTCATCACACACTACTCCAGCCTTCAGCTCCCATTAGCCCCATCAACATGGCCAATATCTGAAATGCTGGGAATTGTAATCCAAAACATCCAGAGTGCACTAAATTTAGAAGGCTATTCTACCCACTCAACACAGCCTTGAGAGTGAACCCCTTGCCCAACTGAGGCAACTTTGTGACACCATTCCCAATGTTCTTTGGAGAATGCTATGATAGCTAAACCAGTTTCAAAAGACATTTTTAGCCCAAGTTAAGTCTGTAATATTGATATGCTCTGCAACAAACCAATATACTGCATAATTTCATCTGCTGTTTTGAGATAAATGACTTGCAATGCACAGTGCCCCAAGCTGTTGCATCTCTTGCTTCTTTACAAAAAAAAGGATTCTAAAAACATGAGTCACTTAAGACCTACTGGTGCAGTAAGCAAGTATCTACTTTTATATGCCTATATGACAAAATGTATGCTCCAACTGAACAGGAATGCACACTTTTTATCACTGTTCAATACTGAAAAGCATGAAAGTACAAGAGGTGCACTGACTGTATTGTATCTGATGAAGTTACTGTCACTGCTTAGCCGCAGAGCTAAAGAGAAGAACCCACGGGCCTTTGCTACTAGTGAAGGGATCTAAGGCAACTGGGAGACTGCACTCAGTGCCTCCCAGCAAAAAGTGTCATGGTGAGGGAGTGGGAAGAGACCAATCTGGTCACGTTCATCAGCCAAAGGAACTGCTGCTCCAAAGTCTGCATTTCCTCTTTCCTCCCTGTTCTTTTTATCTTTTGTATCATAGCTAGAGATGCACAGATTTTCTCAAATCTGTTCCGTGTGTATTTCACAGAGTGTCAGGCATCTTCTATGCCACTGTTTTCTCTGATGGAGATACCTAAGAATCCTGTTCCGCTTGCATAAGTGCAGATTAGCACAAATCCCATCAACAAGTTTTTTAAAAAGGTCTGCAAATCCATGTGACTTGGAAAATGCTGGTCCACTACAGAATTGGCAGGTTGGATTAATAGAGATCAGTACTCACTTGAATTTGCTGCAACTTTTTCCAACATCTCTAATCGTAGCTATTAGACTGTGAGCTCACACACAGGGACAATCTCAATCTTTAATCTCTGTACAGTACTTACACTTTTGAAAGATGTGATTCTAAAGAAGTGATTACTGATCATCAGATGTCATAAGCCCCCTGCAAGTATTTAACCTGAAGGGCAATTGTTTTTGGAAACAGGCTGCCAAGTTATCCCACTACCAGTGAAAGACTACAGAGCAAAGACTGCAACAGGAGCTTCCTTGGTCAGGGTGGTAAAAGAATGTTCTGATCAGCCGTGTCCGTTTGCAAACAACATCAGAGGAATCATATGTTCTCAATCTATGTGTCAAGTTCATAGAAACCTAACGGTCGATTCCAGAAGGTAGTGCTGGGGGACCATGTCTCTGCGCCATGGCAGCTATGCCATGGAGTACCACAGGGCTCCATTCTATCCCCTCTGCTATTTAACATCTATATGAAACAGCTGGGAGAGGTCATCAGGAGGTGTGGGCTGCGGAATCATCAATACGCTGATGATACCCAGCTCTACCTCTCATTTTCCACTAATCCAGGTGAGGCAGTGGCTGTGCTGAACCGGTGCTTGGCCGAGGTAAGGGAATGGATGAGGGCCAATAAACTGAAACTGAACCCAGACAAGACGGAGGTCCTGTTGGTTGGCGGATCGGGCTTCGGAGAGGGTGGATTTGACCTGGTCCTGAATGGTGCAACACTCCCTCTTAGGGACAAGGTCCACAGCTTAGGAGTACTCCTCGACCCGGAGCTTTCTTTGGAAGCTCAGGTGACAGCGGTGGCGAGGAGCGCCTTCCTTCAGCTTCGGCTGATTAATCAGCTGCGCCCCTAGCTGGTGTACGACTGCCTGGCAACGGTGACACACGCGCTGGTGACTTCCCACCTAGACTTCTGTAACGCGCTTTACGTGGGGCTTCCCCTGAAGACGGTCCGAACACTTCAACTGGTGCAAAATAGAGCTGCCAGGTTGCTGACAGGGACGGGGCGTTATGCACACATGACTCCAGTCCTCCGTCAGCTTCACTGGCTTCCCATTGAAGCCCGGGCCCAATTCAAGGTGTTGGTTATGACCTATAAAGCCCTAAACGGCTTGGGTCCTGGCTACCTGAACGAGCGCTTACGTCCGTATATGCCCGACCGCCCCTTGAGATCTGCGGGAGAGTCCCTTCTCCGGGAACCCTCCATGAAAGAAATTAGGAGTGTAAGTACTCGGAGGAGGGCTTTCTCTGCGGTGGCGCCCAACCTATGGAATTCACTCCCCAAAGAGGTCCACCTGGCACAGTCGTTACTGGTTTTTCAGCGCCAGGTAAAGACCTTTTTATTTAAACATCATTTTAATTGTTAAAATATATGATCTGGCCAGGGCAACTTCTTCTTCCTTCTCTTTTCTCATCCTATATTATTTACTTATTTTATACTGATAATTTTAATTTTATATTATTATGTTTGTAACTCAGTGTATTTTTTGTATTTTTGTATTTAATGGTAATTTATTATGTTCTATTGTATTTCAATGTATTTTATTGTGTTGTAAGCCGCCCCGAGGCTTTGGCAAGGGGCGGCATAGAAATGTTATAATAATAATAATAATAATAATAAGAAGAAGAAGAAGAAGAAGAAGAAGAAGAAGAAGAAGTATGACACCACATTTAGAACAACAAGCATGGAGTTTGAAAAAGAAGGTGAAAGAGAAAAGGAAAAGAGAAACCCTGTGGGCCAGGTAATAAGTGCCCATTTACCTTATGGTTAAAAAAGGCACTTGTATGCACAGCCTTTCATAGACAAATTGTGCAAATTGTCAGTTGCCAGTGGCCAACTAAAACTAAAACTTATGCATTGCTATTTTTGAATAAAATTTATATTACAAGTGTTAATTTAGTTTTTCTCATTTCTCTCCCTTTCTTCTTTAATAGTTTGTTTTGGTGTTTTGTTTTGCTTTTAGTATTGCATAATGAATAAAAAATGAAAAAACTTGCCAGCTAGTGATACAAAAGAAAAATACTGCAAAAGGCATTAACAAAAGATACCAGCAGTCAGAATACTACCTCTTAGGGAAATACAGCTTAACGTTAGGAGGCTGGTTCCACAGTGAACCTTTATCCTTCCATCCCAACCAAAAGGAGTTAGCCTCACCCTCAGGGTAGTTCTAGATGGCAGAAATGTTGGACTCAACTCATCTATACTTTTCATCAGATGCCAGACTATGGGACTGATCATGTTACAGCTGCTTCTGTATAACTGCACCTGTTCAACAAGGGTTTCTCACTGAACCAGACATTATTTGGTTCCCACCAGCCTCTTGGCTTATTGCTGGCTTGCTGGCCTTAGCATTTCTGCTAATATTTCTGACTCTACTTCTTCCAATTCTGATTCAGATTCTGAGGTAACAATCTTGGAAAGCATTATTTTAAGAGAAGTGGGCCTAGTCCGTACAGGGCATAGCGCATACATTCACTGTAAGCACCCAATCCAGCCAGCCAATTTCAGAGTACACAACAGGAAAATGATGGGATTAAACCAGACAGGCAACCTCTGATTCAGAAGTATCAGCTGTCATGTAGACCACAGGCAAGCCTCCATCACCAACCAAGGAGAGTGGGAAGAAGGGAGCCAACCCATCAAACACCACTTGCCTGCGCTGCTTGAGGGCCATGCCCCTTCTGGAAGACCCCTCTTCAGAGGATGACCTGGAAGTTCCGAGCCAAATTATCAGATAAGTTGCCTGTACTGAAGGCCCCTGAGGCATATCAGCAGGATCAGGGATCCTTGGGGGAGACAGCCTACTACCCACATTGCAGTTAGCCCTCTCCTGACTGCAGAGGTTGATGTTGAGCAGCCACCCAGTCCCCAGGAAAATAAGAGGCACTTGATGGTTCAGGCTCAGCCAAATGGCAGAAGCAAAACACCTGAGGATAAGGCAAGCTCTTGATTAAAGCTATACTCATACACAAGGCTCTGTTTGTAGGTAACCTGTCCCTCAAGTGGCACTGATGGCCTGCAGCTGTGCTCTGGCTAGGTGTCTGAAGATTGATGTAAAAGTAGAGTACTAGGTGCAGAGTGTTGAAATAGCACAGTAACCTTCCATTCCTCTGCTAACCCAGCTCTCCCTGTATTTGGATTACCACCTGCCTTTGGAACTGACCCCAACGAATTCCCTGGATCAAACCTTGTACCACCATACGTAACATATGGATGTGTCCAATTTGGGCCCATATCAATGGCTGGGAAGAAACTTATCTGGTTCATCCGCCTCTCACCATTTCCTGTATCCCGTATTTAAGTGTCAAAGGTTCCTCCATGGCCACCAATCAACAAGAAGGTTCTGTCAACCACAGAGAAACAACTAGGATGGCCAGACTGTGGCTGTTGAGACATTGCTTACTCATAGCAGAAGCAGTATAACAAGAATGGCAATGAAATGACTTTCCCTGCATTAAACTGTACTGCTAAAATCAAAAATAAAAGCCTGGAGTAACCAGAAGTGGATTTGTGTATGGAAGAACTGTGAGTTCCATTCATTTCTGGCATTTAGACCAAATTCCTGGGCTCAGAATGTTTTGCATCAAGCTTCATGTTGTTAAACCTTGTGTTTCCAGTAAAAACAAATTAGGCCCCACAAGTCTGAAATCTGACTGAAATCTGACAGGCAGTTTAGGTCGTTCCCTCTCACACCAAAGTCCACTCCAAATTCCCCTTCCCAGAGCTTCTTTTAGCTGCAGAAGGGTAAATTTGCAGAATCACAAGCTGCCCCTTCTATGGCTAATCACATCACTTCTCTCAGCACGGCTTTTACGGAAAAGAAAATTAGATTGCATCCTCCAATGTAATCTGCAGCTTGAACCACATTATGATTTGGATGTTGGCCAACCTTCGTATCTTGCTTAAGGTAACACAATGTCATCTTTACCCGAGTCATCTTGCTGAAAGAAGTCACAAGAGCTTGCAAGGAAGTATCCGTAGCTTTCCTGACCCGACTGAGTTCCTGCAGCTTAGCATTCTTCCACTCAAAGAACCTCTCAAATGCTCCCTCAGTGCCCTCTGTGTCAAAATCCAGACCATATGCAGCCTTTAAAGATCCCTCCAATTTCTGTAGAATATAAAAGAACACCAAGATCAAGAGGGAGGAAGTCTACAATAAAAAATGTGTCCTGTCTGTCCATCTGCACAAACACCATGAAACCTGGGCACCTACAATTTGGCATGCATGCTAAGAAAATGCTAGGAGTATGCAGCATGGGTTTGCTCTAAAAAGGCATAAATTTTAGTTTATTTAAATATGTCCACATGGCTAAAGTAGCATTTTCAGCAACCAGAGATAGACTTCCCTAAGTGGCACATGGCTTTCCAGTTCATACAGTTAGAAATTAGGAGAGATTAATAGGCTGAGGGACAGTCTCATATGGCTGCCATCTCCTCCCCCTGCTGTGGGGAACCTCCCTGTCATACCATGGGAATTGAGCAGACAGAGCCCTCCCTCAGGGGATATACGCAGGCGTACACCAAGGCAGGACCACGTTTAGCAGTGCCAGTAGACATGGCTTCACTCAAACAAGTGGGTACAACAACTTCTTCAACTGCCAATGGTGTAAGTTTGCTTGAAGCCTTTGCTGTATCAACCATGGATTCTTCTAACCCACATAAAGACAAGTCTATTTGATAGTCAATAAACAAAAGTGCTAAGGAGAAATACACAAAGCTAAACAATCATACAATATAAAAAGGAGGAGGCAAGCTAATGTGACGAGTCATTAGGGTGTTGGACTGGGACTCGAGATCCAGATTCGAGTCTCTACTTGGCCATGAAACTCTATGTGATTTTGGGCCAGTTACTAACTCTCAGCCTAATCAACCTCACAGGGTTGTTGCAAAGATAAAATGGAAAAGAAAGGAAGGACTATGTAAAAAACGCTGGAATGATTACAAGGCAAAAAGCCAGCTAATAACTTAACAAAGATACTTCACCAGGGGACCCTGTTCATAAAGCATTCCTCTAGAGTGACAGTAAGCAATTTTCTTTCCCTTGGAACAAATGACACATGTATCTTTTTAATGTTGACTTTTTTGTCCTAAGAAAAGTCAACGTTAAAAAGATATATGCAGAGTTTTCAAAAATACTTAAAGAAAATCAGTTGTACTTCCTAAAGCCTAAGTAGAGGAACAAGACAAATGACTAAATAAATGTCAGAATTGTTGTAAATGTTATTTTAAAATCAAAGCCCAAAGGCATTTCAGTTCATCCCACAAAGGGAAAAACCCTGACACCTACCATCTTGAGTTATGTTTGCACACATCCCAAGTGTAAACTCCTGAAAAGTTTTAATAAGATTTCAGATAACCTATTTTCAAACTTAATGGTAGGCAAGAGTTTTTTTTTAAATGTAACAAGCTTGCATCTAAGGGTGCTTCCAGCTGAATAACTGCTCTAGGCAGTTTGCAACCATTTAAAACCAACAAAAATTCAAATTTAGATTAAGAACATAATAAATAAAACTGATGTGGGAAGATACATCTTGTTGGAAGATACATCTTTAACTCCCACTTGAAGGCAGCAATCTGAAATATCTGATGCATCTCTCCCAGCAAGTTATTCCAAAGTTTAGGAACAACCATTGTGAAAGTCTTTCAGGTAGCTGAAATTAATCTTGTAGATGCAGACTTAAGAAGTTTATCCTCAGATGACTGCAGTAGGCAAGGCAACAGTGGACAAAGGTGCTCCCAAAGCTATTTTTCACTAAAGCCATGAAGGGCTTTAAAGGTAATTTACAATACTTTGTACTGCATCCAGAAAACTTCTTCTTCCATTTGTAGCCCTCCCCACCAGACTTCCCAGCACCTTCTTTGATCTTTTTTCTTACTGGGGGAAAATCCCTTGAGGATAAAAAGATGGAATAGTTGCACAATGACATTTGATGGCTAACACTTCAATGTTTGCATGTAGAAGCACCCAATGTCTGAGGGTTCAAAGCATTGAGAATATGGGCAACTACAGATTAAGAGTCCTTTCTTCCATGGAATTTTAAGACTCTCAGTAAAATCCAGGGCAAGAGCATTCACTATGTTGTTTGCTGCAGCTTTCACCTAGCACTGCAAAATGTTTGGAGGCTGCCATCTTGTGGGCACAGGTTAATATAACTTTTGCAGTACTTCATTAGAGAAACATCTATTTTCAAAGTCCTCAACCCTCATGCCAGGTGAACTACAGATCTTCGGGCAGCAGGAGATGATGGAGGTTTTAAAGGATTATGGTTTAGTAAGTTAAACAGGTTTTCTATTCTACAGATAAATGCAAATCTTGCCATTGTTCATGTCACATCCTAAACATTATTTTAGGGGACCTGATTTATTAAGAGGGCTCTAATTAATTAACACTATAGCAAATTTTCACAAGCAGGCAGTCCCCTGGGTGACAAATGAGTTCCATTCCAAAAAAACCAGAAATTCTTCTTTAAACCAAATTTGCATGCAAGTCAGATCATGTACAGTTGGCCCTCTGCATTTGCAGGTGCTGGGAGGCAGGACACCTGTGAAAACAGAAAAAACATCTCCTCCCCTGTCCAAACTCACTAGTGTACCCTCCTTGCAGCAAGGAAATGCAAAGAGATTTCCCTCTCCAGATGGTCAGGGCAGGAAGGCATGCTTTGTAGGCATCCCTCTCCTTTCACTTTCTTTCTCTGTATGGTAATGATAATTTTCCTGAGTAATTTTATAATATTCATAGGCTTTATGGCAGTTCATTGGGTTGTTCATTATTTGGGTATTCATAACTCAGGGACAGCCTGTACATGAAATTCTATTATGTTTTGTATGTGTGGGTGCATATGTATGTACATGCATATACCTTATATAAAGAACAGGGAGGGGGAAGTGCATGTACATTAGTTTCTGGTCTAGAATTGTGAGGACCAGCGGAACACCTTCCTGTTACTTTCTGGAAATGACCAGAAATGGCTGAATGCAGCATCGATTTCCCTGAAGAAAGAGGAAACATCAAGAGTACCTCATGGTAGGCAGGCCCTTTCATCAGACTGCTTGCATAAATCCATTCTATTACAAAACTGACATTTTAAAATGACTTTAAAAACTACCAGTAAAAACAAAATGATTCATAGATGACACAGAGGAGCACAGCTGTTCCCAACCTGCAATCTTTCTAATCGCTCAGAAAGGGGTAAGTTGTCCACTTCCATAATGAATTCTTCCACCGCAGAATACAATTTCTGCTGCACCTCATTCCTGCAATGAATCAAGATTTGCATTTTGTCCTGCACAGAAGGAAAACCAAGATCAGGAAATGTACATCTGAAACTCTCACTTAAGCTCAATACGTGAGACTGATGGTGGATTTTTTAAAGCATAGTTCTTGCAGAGGAAAGTAAGAGAACTGTAGTCCAAACCTTAACTCCCACAGCAACTTAAACTTTAGGAAGTTATGCATGCTTTGATACATGCACACTGGGTAAAAGAGATGTCCTGAGATGTTGCTGGACTTCAATGCACAGCAGCCCCAGCCAACACTGCCAATTGCCAGGAATTGTGGGAGTTGTAGCTCTGGAGAGTTACAGGTTCCCTATCCTTAGCATAGTCACACCTGATCTGAGTAGTGAAGCACTCTAAGGGCATGTGGTTTAGACATCAGATCTCTCCCAGACTAAGCTATACACAACTGGATCCTGGCATGGATCCAAGATAAGCCTACCAATACTATGGCAGCTACAATTATTGTTATCATGTACCTGCTTACACTGCAAGCCAGTATAGGTCAGATTGCAGGAGGAAGCTAGCAAATACAGACTTCTTACAGCTTTATCCAAGTTCTTAGAGGCTCCAAGCTATGGATGCCCTTTTTATTTTAGCCAGTGACATTCAAACAGAGGGGGAAATGTAATTTGTAATCTTATTTAAGCAGTCTACCATTTTAAATTCAGCCATCAGGCCCTTTCCAAAAAGATATACTGGAACCATCTAGAACCAAGACCAGCTGGTTGTACTGCTCCTGAATCCTTGCAAGAATCCAATCTAGATGGTGAGTTTTGGATCTCAAGTCAAGCAAGGAAGGTGATAACTCACACACACATCCTGAGCTGCTACTTGTATTCGGATGGAAACTCTCTCCTTGAATCCCAGCATGCATAACAACCCCTGCTCAGCTGTCTTGCCCAATGGGCTGCAGAGCAGAGGAAGATGCAACATTCTCTTGCAAAAATGGACTGCAAGAACATTTCTCTTCCACAAGACTAGCAGAATTTCATAATAAATTTGATGTGACAAAGATTTGTTTCAAAATTATAAAGAGAAAATAAAGTCTGCAAGATAGGATATTATGTTTGATACATACCACATATTTGCATAAGCGTATTTCTTCTTGGGAAGTGTTATAGTCTGTCCAAATCTTCTCCAGCTTTTCCAAAGCTGGAGGAGCACCAAGGCACCCTTCAGTGACTATGTTTACAGCTTCTGAAAGATCTTCTCCAAAACGAACACCCATACTGTCTTGTCTAGATGAAAGATATGTAGACATGAACAGCAAGAGAAAGTATTCTGAATGCCATATAGTTTTATACTCCCTTTTTGTAATATATGATGCCATGTTAGAATGCTGTCATTTAACTATAAAACCTAAATCTGTCTAGAAGTGTGTATTTTATGGGCATATCAGTGACACAAGTCAGTCAGCCTCACCCACCTTGGTGCCCTGCAGATGCATTTTGGACTGCACCTCCCATCATTCCCAGCCAGAATGTCCAGGTCACCAGGCTGGGGAAGACTAGAGTAAGTGAAGGTAAAGTATGAATACCCAATTAATCAGTTCCACTTCCCACACTCCATGGTTCCCACTGATGAAAGGAGATGCTATGATCCCATGATGCACACTGGCATTAACAAGATACCACTGTTACTTAGTCACAGGAGTCTCTACAGGCAAGACTACTGTTCTCTGTTGGTCTCACCAGCCTCATTCTACAAATCTCAGCTGTACCAGAAAGTGCTGAGATTCAATGGACCAAGTCTTAATCACACCAGTGAACAGGTGTCACCTTAAAATAAACTTGCCCCTAGTAAACCAGGATTCTTATTTATAGAGAAAATATTGTGCAAATATGGAGATGGCAACTTTTTTGGGAGCCTTCTCTACTCAGACCTCTAAGCTGAACAGGGAGGGAGGGAGATGTGACTTTCTGTATTGCTCTGCAGACTTGAGCCAAAGATAAAACCAAAGCACACCTCCTTTTCTTAATCAAAAGGTACTTGAGGAAGGAGCAACAATCAGCCACAGCACACCAGAGAAGGAAACTCTTCCATCTAGTCTGCTCACCACCAATAAAAAAAATAGATGTTCCATACATCCGACCACTGCAACTTCACCAGTCAGCTCCCTTTCTCCTTCATAACTGCTTTTACCTCACTGGGAATTGCTATGCTATTTTACTGTTTAAGCCATGATGCACACTGCAACAGATCTAGACCTAGCACTAGGCACTAAATCTCAGGACTCTGGAGGTAATTTATTTCAGATCACAGCAGGTTTCAGTGGTGCCAAAACCTTTGCCTTCCCCTTCATACCTGTGTAAGTAGCTACTATTCCCTGTTCAACTTGCAGCTCTCTTCCCTACATTGCTAATGCTATTGTGTTTTGCACCTAGCACTGAGGTGTTGGGCAGTATCCTTAGCCAAAAGAGCTAAGTAACTCCCCACCTCCTCACTTAAATGAGGAGCCTCCTTAAGAGGCTTCAAGGTTAGAGGACACAGGCCAGGACAGTGTAGGGTCTGACCCCACTGCCATGACCCCAAGTGTTTAGGCACCAGCTGCAAGAACAGGTCAAGCCATCCTTTCCCAATCTAGTCCCCTACAGGTCTGCTGGGCTACTAATCCCACGATCCCAGCTGTCCAACATTCCAAGGGAAGACCAGGTTGGAAAAGGCTGGTTCAAATGATCAGCATCCTTCTAATATCTACCCAGCAAATATTACATTATCAAAACATGCAGGTTGGCATAAGCAAAATCTCAGCTTTTTTACTTGTAAAATGCACAACTAAAAACGTGTCTTGCCTTTTCTCCAGCTGGCATCCTGCACCACCACTTCCTCTCAGCCCTACCTCAGCTTCTCTACGTTTTTGAAGTTAACTTCAAACTTCACTGAAATGAATTCTGAACAAAGTTCTAGCAACAGACTAACTTTCATAGGCCAGCCATTGTCACAGCATTTGGACAGTCATGAAAAATAAAATATTTTAAGGCCTCTAGCAGGGTTCTCTCCAAGCCCCAAGCCCCAGAGAAAAAGGACGTTTATGTTTCAGCTATGGAGCTTTGCAACCATTTCTGACAACTGTTGTCATATTACTGCATTATCAGGATCAACACTAATGACTGTTTTAAAAGGGAAGAATCTTCTCCAAGCAATCCTAGATCAAAGTGTTGTTCTTTTTAACTTCCACTGCACAGACACTAGGAACTCATAACTGCTGAAGGCGTTCAGTTTAGAAACATGCACAGTTACCTTGCCTCTTTCAGCTTCTTGAACTTGGTGGCCAAGCTTCTCACTGTAGTTCCTATATATGTATGAAGAGTGCTGTCTAAATGCTCAAGATATTTCTTGGAAGCTTTCTTCTCTTTCTGCATTGGACAGGAATGAAAGTATTAGCCCACAAGTGCTACATAGTTTCTGTTAAATGCCAAAGAACTAAAAAGCCATTGCCAAAAATGCCCATGTGCAAACATGGAATGAAGAAAATATGGCGGCAGATTTGGCCTCAAGGATTATGCTAGTGTATGTTACATTTGTATAAATACCTTTTACTCTAAGAAGTTCAAAATTACAGATGTCGGATTGCCTTGCAAACAGCCTTTCATTTAAAAATGTACAGAAGCATTAAATTCTTCCCCCCCCACAAAAAAATTACCTTTTTGTAAATTATTGTATGTATTTATTATAATTATACCCCACCTTTTTTCATTTCAAGGAACTCAAGGCAGCTTAAATTGCTTTTCAATTCATGCATGGGGATTAAAACAATGGATAGTGTATAAGGCCAATGACAGCTATTAAATATGATGGCAATATGGTGTCTCTAGTATTGGAGGCAGCATGTAGGTTTCCAATAGGCAGCTGCTTGGCAATCCTGTTAATAAAATGCTGAACTGATTTGGCATGGCTCTTCTTGTGCTCTTTGAGAAATCACGGAGGACCAGTGAAGTACCAGTGGAATGGAAGAGAGTTAATGTTGTTCCAATCCTCAAAAAAGCAAAAAAGGAGGGACCTGGGAACAACCAGTCAGCCTGACATCAATTCTTAGGAAAATTCTGGAATAGATCATAAAGCAGTCAATTTGCAAATACTTTGAAAAAAATGCCATGATTACTAGAAGCCAACATGTCAAGAATGAATCCTGCTAGACAAATTAGGTAATCTCCCTGTGGACTGTAAGAATGCTGCGGACATAATCTATCTTGACTTTAGCAAAGCTTTTGACAAAGTGCCCCATAATATCCTGATTAGCAATCTATCTAAAACTGAGCTACATGGGACAAGTATCAGGTAGATCCACAATTGACCACAAATTCAAACTGTGCTTATCAATGGCATCTTCTCGAACTAGAGAGAGGTAACAAATGCAATACATTCAGTCCTATGTCCAAATTTTTATTAATCATTTCAGTAAGGTGGTACAGGGAATGCTTAACAGATTGGGAGATGACACAAGATTGAGTGAAATTGCTAATACCCCAGAAGACAGAAACAAAATTCTAACAAGCTAGATAGGTTGGAGTGCTGGGTTGAAAACAGAATGAAATTTGGTAGGGAAAAATGCAACATTTTGTACCCAGGTAAAAGAAACCAAACCCATAGTTACAAGATGGAGGATACGTGACTGAATAATATTAGAAGTGAGAAGAAACTTGGAATTGTTGTATATCACATGCTGATTATGAGTCAACATTGTGATGTGGCTGCAAAAAGGCCAAATGCTATTTTTGACTGCATTATCAGAAGCAGCATGTCCAAATCACATAAAGTCCTAGTTCTCCTCTACTAAGCACTGGCTAGGCCACATCTGGAGTACTGCATCCAGTTCTGGGCACCACAGACAAGATGCAGACAAACTGGGAAAGTTTCAGTGGAGGGCAACAAAGATAGTCTGTTGGGAAACAAACCCTTATAAGAAGAGACTGAAAGAGTTGAGCATGTTTAGACTTGAGGGGAGATTTAACACTCTTCAAGTATTTCAAAGGCTGTCACACAGAGAAGGACTAGGATCTCTTCTTGATCATCCCAGAGCACAAGGCACAGAATAATGGGCTAAAGTTACAAGAAGTCAAATTCCAGCAGAGCATTAGGGGAAACTTTATGACAGTTAAAGTCATATGACAATGGAATAAATTGCCTAGAAAGACTGTATGCTCTTCTACACTAGGGGTATTTAAGATGCAGCTAGATTACCTTATGGTAGGGATGCTTTAACTTGGAATTCTGCTTTGAACAGGGGGTTGGACCCAATGGGCTTATTGGCCCCTTCCAACTCTATGATTCTATGAAAGGAACCTGGAAAATGGGGAAACTGGCACAATTGTCACTACAAGTTCCATCTTGCTGTCCCAAGGAACCGAAAGCCAGTTTTACTGAGCCAAGAACAGGGCAGGGCAGAAAATATTTCTGGATAGACTGGTAGATCTTGAAATAATTTGCAGCAGATTGTAAGGATTTCTTACCCACAATTCTTTAACAATCACAGGAAGAAAATAATTCCCCTCCCAACCTATGAAAATGTTGATAAAATAAAGAGAGTTTGAGATAACTAGAAATGATTTTTTATATGGAAGGATTATGAGCACCATTATTTTTGGGTTCAGAATGTTTTAATTCTAATCATAAACTGGTTCACACATATTGATGGCCCATGATTTAGACAGCCCATGAGCTATAATGCATGAGGGTAAGAGAGTGGGTATGCTACTGCAGTATGTCAGCCACATCTGCTTCTAATCAATAAACCTGCAATCAGCTAGGTCACAGGTTGCTGAGCCTGGCAATCAAACCTGGAGCTCTGGCTCATATAGGAGTCAAATTACCCATTGGCTAACTCATGGTTAGTTTTTGGCTTAATCACAGAGCTGTGAGGCTCCAAATGACTGCAGGCAAAACATCTGCTCTCTTCCACTTGTATAGCCCACAAGTTGTTTAACCTATTAATGTTATTGTGTGCAAACTGGCCATATGTTCTTTGCATTGGGTTTCATTTGCTGGATACTGGGTTCTAATAAAAAATTAAGTAGATAGCAGAAATCTGAAGGCTGTCGGTCCTAGAGGAGACTTTCCCTCCAGATATGTTGGACTAGAATTCCCATCAGCCCTGCCATCAAGATGGGAGTTGTAGGGTAAAAGCACCAGGTTGGTGAAGACTGCCTTAGAGGATTTTTCCAATTAGCTTGGAGCTACTGGATTGCTGCCTCAGCTGCTTATTAGATTTGAGCAGCCCTGCCCTCTGTGGAAGGCAGCCAACCAGGCAAGAGGAGGCTTGAAGACCATTCTTTATCTGAGTGCTTCCTCTCCCAGTAGGCAAAGAAGAATAAAAATTTCCTGCATGTCAATTATATATCAGCAAAAAGAGATACCAGCGGTCTAACCTAAAGTTATTTGATCAATCATTCTGGGATGAAGCACCATACCTCAAGACTGTGAGTAAGCTCCTCAATCTTTGTTTCCAGTTCTTCACATTGATGAAGAAGATTCTGGTTTTCCTTTCTGACAGCCTCTTTTTCCTCTTTTAGTTTTTCATTCTCTTCTATAAGCTTCTGATCTTGTTTAATTTTTCCCAGGCTAATATTTGATATCCGTCTAAAGTCATATGCCCCTATTTTCTCCCTACTGAAAATAAGGACAAGAATAAACAACAGAAACTTTAAGCGATTGTCAATATTTCCACATGAGGCTTTTATGACACAACTGCATTGCCTCATTAATACAAGTTTTCAAGAGGTCCAGACATTAGACTACCATTTGTAGGCCTTTCATCTTTCTCACGACATTCCTCAAAAGCCTGTGAAGGAAGATGGAATAGCTGCATGACATCTTACAACTGTTAGAGCTAGAAGTCCTGTAAATGGAAGTACTCTTACTCTCCAAGACCCTTCAGAAAAAGATTTTATTTTGACAATTAACTCCACTCCCCTGCACCCAATTCCCCCCCCCCTCCTTTTTATCCCCCACGTAGGGGCAAATTTAGGGAGGGAAAAGCTGGATGGAAACATTTAAACACCTGCCTGTAGCAAGCATCCTGAACACATTTGCTTGGTCCCAATCTCAAGAGTATAATAAAGTTTTTTAAATGCCAAGATTACTAACAAGCTATGCATGTAATGTAGAGTGTAGTTTAGCCCTAAGTTTCTAAAGGAGTTTGCAATTAATGTTAAACACATTACATTAAATGCAAAAGAGCCTGGAACATGTGTATCAAGGCAGGGTGGAAAAAAGTAAAGAACAATGATACTTTCCAAGAAGTTTCCTTCTGGGTTGGTGTGCAAAAGACACAGCCACAATAGGATAGTGCCTTCCATTCATCTGGAATGGCAGGAACCATGTGACCCAGTTTTGTTTAGTCTGCTGGTCCTAGAATCCTCCCTGGGACTTCTAGCCATATTACAATTCAGTGACAGAGATCAGGAAACAAACTTCTCTGTATAAATGGAAAACCATAATTACCACAGAGAAAAGAACTTTACAGTGAGGACAGATGAATAAAGTAAAAGAAAATTAGAGACCAAGTTGAAGCCTGACCCAGAAGACACAATGCTTGTAGCAATCAGGGTGGTTAATAATACAACAAAACCAGGAGCCTGAGTTAGGGTGTATCTTTAATGCCTTCTGCACACCAACCCAGAAGAAAGCTTCTGTGGCAAGGCAAAGTCCTCCTCCAACATGCTGCTCCAGAGTTTCTTTTCACAAAGCTTGGTACACATCCCTGTTGTCGTACATTTCTGAGTTCAACCAGAGTTAAGTGCTGAACCCTCTCTAACACCTCTCAGACTCCAGCCCCCTTATACCCTTTTTCTCCTGTGCCACCCTGCAGGCAGGGCACTATGAAATCTTGAATTATGGTACTTTTCCCATTTCTCCATCAACTGAATCTCCCACCTGTGTTGTCTCCTCACAACTAGCATCACCTCCTCAGCTGGAGGGACCTCAGTATCAGACAGGCTGCTCAGTTCTCGCTCTGAAGTTTACCCAGTGCTCATCTCTTCCTGCTGTGCTCTCTCTCCATTTCCATGGATCAGTTGGACATTACCTTCACCCACTTGGAATAACAACTGCTCTTCTTGCTCCCCAGATGTTCCCTGACTTTAATTTGATACTGGAGCTGGCTGACACTCCACAACCCTCTCATCTTCACTGCCTGAACTCAAATTTTCATCAAAGCTACAAACTGGTCACATGCATTCTGCCACCTCTTCCCTCTGCACACAACACCTTTCCAGTAAGCACCCACATTCCATTCTCCAGGTAGGTGTGAGGAAGGCATCGCTACAATGGGTCATGCTAAAGCTGCCAGGTAGGGTGGAACAACTTTTATGCACTGAGTCAATTGAGAATTACCTACCTGCTGAAGAAACTGTATATAAGCATAAGTGACTATCCAAATGAAAGAATGAGTACTAGCCCATGTTATGGCCTTAAATATTTCTACTACTAGGGCATTCTACTACTAGGGCACCCTCCAATAAACCCAACTGGAGATTGTTTCATGGCAAGCAAACACAGACATTATGGGCTATTTGTAGGTTAAGCAATCCATACTGCCCAGGTTGGTATATTACAGAACAACCTCCTATCAGAGATTGATTGTGCAAAGCAGTAGCAGGATATAATCCGACAAACCGGCAGTTGCTTAAATAACCCATGATTTGCACCCATTATGTACAAATCAGATCCACTATATAAAGATGTCGCTCACTCTTCACAAACCACTCCTCAGAAAACATTTCCTTACAGTTTCTCTGTAATGACTTACTTATTAAATGGCACATTGCAGGAAGTATTATTCTCACTTCTGCTATTCAGAGGCACATGATCACCAAGGCTCCCCTTGACTCTACCACTTGCTGGAGTGTTGCCTCTCATAGCCCACAGGGGAGTTAAAGCTTTTGCGTTCCAGGACTGGTATGCAGAAGAATCAATTTTTGTGTCATGGGCATTACTGTTTGTGGAGGGTTTGCATCTCTCTGCAAAACCTTTTCTACACATTTCTTCCCCAACATCCAATAGGCCACACTCTGCCTGGACTGCAATGGTCCCATCCTGGGATGTAGCTTTGTATCTTGTCCTCATTTCTTTTTCAAAAATCAAGCTATTCAGAAACTTCCTACCCTGAAAAATAAATTTAGAAATTATCATGGAGCAAGCCAAAACATAGGTCTTATAAATCAGAGAAATACACAGGTATAGTTTCAAACTACTAGAAAGGTCATCTAGTCCAACCCCTACCAGTACTGGAAACACACATGTTCTAAATGATTACTTTTACCACCAAAAGAAAGGAAATGTTATGCCCTCAGCTACATCATACCCATTTTACACTGAAAAATAATGGTAACTAATCACAGGATTTCTAGAAGGAAACAATCCACCCACCTGTCAAAACTGACAGGTTTTGCAACTTTCAAGCAAAAGAAAGCCATTTTATGTTTGTTTGGCCAGTTTAAAAAATAACCATCTTCCTCAGATCTCTACTCCAACAATGAAAATTGCTTAATCACTAAACATTCACAAAAATGTGAAACATCTGGCTCACCTGGTCAAACTGATTTAATTCTTGATCAGCTGGTATCTGTAATCCCCACAGTTTATACCTTTTTGCCACACTGGGGAACTGCAAGTCTGCTGGAATCTCAACTATCTCTGATCGACAGAGAATCTCAGAGTTTCCATAGTCAATATATAACACCTGGCACTGCAACAAGAAAATGCAAAAGCCAACTACTTATGTTATTAACTTACAACTGTAATCATGCAATCCTAGATATGTCTCCTGAAAAGTAAGGTCCACTAAGCTCAGTGGGACTTACTCTAAGATTACACAAGACTGAAATCTAATTATAAACTATAAGAGCAGTAAAGAATCTGATTCAAGGGGAACAGTGCAAAAGAGGGCCAAGCTCTTACACATCATTATCTAGTAAAAAGAAGGTATTGTAATTACCCATCAAAAAATAAAACAGCCTGAATAAAAAATGGTAGCTCTGTGTTGTTATTTAACTCATTTGTGTCATATTTACTCAAACCCAAGTTAGCATTTTTTAAAATGCAGTGTTGAACCAAAGCCAGAGAAATTTAGAACCATCAACATCAATATCAACTAACATATGAACTTAAAAGCTCTGCAACTTGCAGAATTACATTTCGCTGCTTTTATACATGAATATCAAATACATTTCCAATGTTATTAAAGAAAAATCAAGCTGAGTAGCTATTCTCTTAGAAGGTATTCCTTGCCTTTTCATCACTGATAACCTTCAGCACTTTACATCTGTACCAGCATTTATCTTCAGAAAAGCACCCTCCATATACCTGTGGATGCAAACAAAAGCAAATCATTTCAGAAATCTGCACCTTTTGTTTTGCTTTAAAAATCACAATCCATTAAGACATGTTCCCTGGAAGTTTTTAGTTCAGAGATGTATATAGCAGTGTGCAGGTGGTAGCTGACCGAGAGACACACAGCTAGCTGCCTTTTGAAACAGACTTTAGTCTTCAAACATGTCTACTGATAGAGAATTATGTAACTAGTTCTTAAGGAATGTGCTTATGTATGTAGCCAACAGTTTCTACATGGTAATTAAAAAATCTGACGTTAGAAAATCTGACAAGGAGGATACTATCATACTGGACTGGTATATTTTGAGCAGCAATCCACCCTCCATACAACACAGCAAACAAATCATGGAAGTGGGAGCAGAAAAATGAAGACTCAAAATTTTGGGGCAGGCAACATTCTGAGCTGTTACAAGGACTTTCCCTCCTCAGTTATTCCACCAAGATGTACGGTATTTCAGGAAATATGGAACCAATCTTTTATGCATGTATTTCCTACATTATCACTACAATATTTTCTTTCAAATGGGTCAAATCTATAAAACAAGGTTTTCCTCTTCAAAATGGGTTATATGAAGAATTTTATGGCAGACAACTGAAGATGATTTCTGCTCCTAAAGAGCTGTGATTTGCATATGGGGAGCAGGCAGGGCCTTCATAAAAGCCTAACAGCCATGCTCAATCAGACCAAACATCCATCTAGTTTAGCATTCTGTTCTCACAGTGGCCAACCAGCTACTCACAGGAAATCTACAAGCAGAATATGAGTCCAACAGCACTCTCCCATCCACGTTCCCAAGCAATTGGGGTACACAGGCATATACAGCATAAAATCATGAAGCCTAGTAGCAACTGATACCCTTCTCCTCCAATCCTTTTTAAGTCCATTCAAATTGGGGGCCATGACAGCATCTCATGAAAGAGAGTTGCATATTTAAACAAGGTGCTGTGTGAAGAAGTACTTTCTTTTATCTATCCTGAATCTCCACCAATCATCTTTATGGGATTACCCTGGGTTCCATGTCACAGCTTCTACATGGTGGTAGGGGAGGGGCCAAAAGGAAGAAAGGCCATGGTTTTGGCAAGAGGAAGGAGTGGTGTTGGGTCCAGCAGAGTAAGGCAGACACACTTGGGATACTTTGAATGGTGCCAGTGCACCTGTGAGCACCATATCCCTTTATTAGGCTGCACTTAAATTTCCACAAAAGAAGCTACACATGTAACCTACCTTGGTAAGATCAGGATTGCCAAAAACTGGGCTGGCTTGAGGACATATCTCAGCAAGAGCAGAGCCAGTCTTCAAGATGTCATTATGTCGATTAATGTTCTACACAACACAGGTTGAGATCAAAGTCAGTGCTCATACTCTTAGTACTTTAAGGACATGCTACTGATAACATGATGCTATACATTGAAGATGGGCTCATCAAACTACAGGGAATAACCTGCTTTTGTCAAATTTAATCATGAAAATGTTTAATTTGGATAGTACTATCACTCTGCCTGGACACTAATGACCCTGATTCAGCAGGCCTTTCCACCACATCCCACAGTCTTTACCTTACCTGTCCCCAGAAGGTAACAGCATCTTCAACATGACAGCCAATCACCTTTTCAACTGCGGATAAAAAAAGTTAAAAATCAGCTTATGATTTCGCTATTAAGAAAGGAACATGATATTCTGTTAGTATGCGTACCTTGACTATAAGCTGAATCCTCCTCCATATTGGTAGAACCTAAGACAAGCAAACAATCCAGAGTCAGAACAATGACTTACAAAAGCAGTGTCTATGGAGAATACCAAACTGCTGCTTATATAGGAGATGTACTTCTCAGTAACTTTAGAACTGCAGTATGTACGTGTTACATAACCATCCCATTTCCCCTGATCCCAGGGCTTTTCCCACCACCACTACCACTGGAAACAGTCAGAAACTGCAGGGTAAACATATGACTCGCCCCCAGGAGACAAAAAAACAAACCCTGACCTTTGTTACTGAGTAGTGCACTTCTGGGGTGCAGGAACATTATTTCTCTCATTGCAGATCCTTTAAGGAGCTGGGCCAGCAGGGAGTAACATCTAAAGCAAGGAAAACTTTTCTGTCTTGGAAGGCCACAATTCTTTAGGGACATTCTGACAAGGGAAGCATACTGGTGGAGGCCAAGGCCAAAGGCAGCAGATATTCCTTTTCTCTCATTCTCCCCCTTGTCTGTGAAGTAATCTACCAGGAGAAAGATTGTTTTCTGTGTTTTCCAGAGTTTCAAACTAAGAGGGCTTTTGAAATTAGGCCAAGGGTTGCTCAAAATTAGGCTAAGGGCCATTAAAGTGTCCACCCCAATTCAAGGACCAGGGAGTGGACATTTTACATCATCCCCCACTGCTTTCATCAGGCCCAATTGTCATTTAAGAAAAATTCTATGTTGTCTTTTATTAGCGGCCACTCTGAAGATTTTTTTTCAGACAGAATATAAATATTTTAAATAAATCTACAGTGCTCGGCTTAATAAGAAACAAAACTTCACTTTTGTTCAGAACAAGTAAAAAAGCTAAGCCTTAAACATCTACCCCACTATTCTTCTGAAGGTTCAAAAACTCTGATCAATCATCTCAAAAATCATTAACACTGGTTGTTATTTTGAAGCTGAATAAGTTTAATATACTAGAATCTTATTAAAACTTCTACATCTCTAATGATAGTGATCACTCCATCTCTAGTTATATAAATTCTTCCTTGCCTACAACTCCAATCACATTATTTGACATCCTCAGTTAAGCATGTATACAACCATAACCCTCATCTGCTGCAGTAGGTTGTATTACAAAATTCCCACATTAATTTTCTGTTCCAAGGTGCATTTTTAAGCAGCACAAATAGTGAAATTGGCTTAAGGCCCCACCTGGCTACCTAGTTGCTATTATGTGTTGGTGTAAGCCTACAATTTCTGCAGCAGGGTGAGGTGACAACTGTCTCAGTTTAGCCCCCACCCAATGTCTGAAAATGTTCACAAGTCTTCTGAGGTCAAAAAGCCTTCTGAATGTCTTTTTGACATGTTGCTCCTATTGAATGGATTCTTTATTTTCAGGCCACAAAAGGACACTGCTACTTAAAAATACCAGATGGCAAAATTTTTATGATCTTGTAAAAAACAATTTTGTTCAGTCCTGAATATATTCTATGCAATATATTCAGTCCTGAATATATTCTATGCAAATTCTATGTATGCATCTGTAATTTTACCTAGATAATAACTTGCAGAACCCTAAAAGAGACCAATTTAACTACGCAGCTTGGTAAAATTGGCTTAAGTTCACATATGTAAGGTCTTTTGGTGCATTGCAGTAGGTCAGGCTGCTGAACTGGAGCCTGCTATTGTGAAACATTGTCGGACTCCAACTGCCACCAGCTTCAGCATGTCCAATGGTCAGGGATTATGGAAGCTGCAGTCCGGCAATATCAAGAGAGCCATATAGTCATCCAGACTTATTAAATACAACATACGTCTCTATTTCCTAAGCTAACATTTTGTCCCTTGGTTTAAGTTGGAGGCAACTGATTATATTTCTTTGTTATATTATAACTTGCCATTTTCCTTCAAGGAACTCAAGGTTACATATTCCTCTTCCTCCTTTTAATCTTATCCTGTGAGGTAGACTGGTCTGAGAGTCGGCAACTTGCCCAAAGTCACCCAGTAATTTCCATGGGTGAATGGGGACTACGATGCAGATCTGAGTCCCAGTCCCACACTCTTAACCACTACACCATACTGGCTCTCCAACATGGAACACTTCATGAATTCCATGTCACCCTTCCACAGCAAACACACTGATCTTCTCTGTATCATTCCAATTTTATGCTGCAAAAAGCTGATGGCCTAGCAAAACAAGCAGCAAATCCTACAAGTCTAAAGTCTGTTTACCCATCATAAAACATTTGTGCATTTATAGAATCAGAGTTGGAGGGGGCCCTGAATTTCATCTAGTTCAGCCTTCCCCAACCTTTGTCCTTCAGATGTTCTGAACTTCAACTCCCAGTATTCCTGACCATTGGCTGAACTAGCTAGGACTGATGGGAACTGGCGCCCAAAACACCCTGAGGGTACCAGGTTGGGAATACTGATCTAGTTTAATTGCCCTGCTCAATGAGAGTTCTGCAAGGCAACATGCAACTGAATAACTGTGACAGATTGACATCTAACCTCTGTTTAAATACCCTTAGCAAAGGAGAATCTTCCACTAACAGCCTTACTCTTATTAAGTTTGTTCTAATGTTTAGCCCACATCTGCTCCTCTGTAACTGCGAAGCACTGGTTTGAGTCCTGCCCTCTAGAACAAAAGAGAACCTCTACTCCCTCTTCTGCAGAGGTTCAAATAGTTGAATATCAGTATCATGTCTTGTCTTACTCTTCTTTTCTGCAGTCCAAACATATCCAGCTCTTTCAATCATTCAGCATAGGACTTGCCTGCCTGACAAATTATCTTTTGTTGATAATTGTTGATCCCGAATCAACTGTCAATGCATTTACTATGCATAATAAATTATTATGAAATTAATTTCTATACCACCTTTCTACACCAAAATGGCCAAATTCACTAGATAAGAACCCAACCTTTAGCAGGGAGAAAAAAGATCTCTCAATCCAACCATCAGAGACTTTATATCATGATCCTACCACCACCATCACCCCATTCACTTACTTTCTAAAGCACAGATGGGCAGAACAACATTCCCTGGATGGCTTGGACTTCACTTCCCAGAAGCCCCTACCAGAATGGTCAATTGTCAAGAATGCAGGGAGCTGCATTCAAAATATTTGGAGAACTATTTCCTGCCAACCCATTATAAGCTAAAAAGCCATAAACACTTTAATCTTTCCTCAAAGGGAAAGCATTCCCACCAAGCTCCTGCTCATTTGGCTTGCCTTTTCCAGCTCTATGGTAATCTCTCTGGATGTCAAACCCAAAACTGTGCAACTTATTCCAAAATGTGTCTGTGGCACCTATTTATGTTAAGGATATTACAATCCTGTCCATTTATTTTCAATCCCTTTCTTAATCAACCCTAGCATCGGATTTGAGTTTTCACAGATGCTACACTCTGAATGGGCACTTTTATTGTGCTATCTACCAACAAAAATTCTTCCTGATAAGCTGCTCACAGTTTAGAGACCATCCACATATCTGTGATTAGAAGTATACAAGTGCATGGCAACAGACCTTCAGGCCACCTGTGGTCTATCTGCCCACATTTTGTTGCTTCCCCCTTAGCCAACTTCTAATACCAAGATAGGAGGAAACCAATGTGGTGGGAAGAAGCTAGAAAAGTGAATGGTGGGCACACAACAGGTTCAACTGCTCTCACCTACCCCAATTTTGCTCTACAAAACAGAGATTTGGTTTGAGGTTGGGACAAAGCAAAACCCGCAGCCATCCTAAGTACTGTGGCTTTCAATTTTCACTTCAGCCACATACTCTGTTTTCAAAGAAGTTAACAGTCTCTCACTCAAATTTCTACCAATCCTGCAGCAAAGCAGGGATAATTCTAACCTCAGTTTCTGCAAGGATTACTAAAATAAGTGGGGAATGTGTGGTCTACCAGCTGCTGTTGGACTTAAGTGCCCATCAGTCCTAGCTACCATAGCCAATAGTGGGGAATTATGGGAGTTGCAATTCAACTGTATTTGGTGGGCCACAGTTTCATCATACCTGTTGCAAATGGCATTTTAATTCATGGCATCTCCAGTTCAATTTACCTCAGTCCGCAAGCCTGAAAAAGTCCTTTCTCCTGAAACCCCATAAAGCTGCCGTTAGTCAAAGAACTGTGCTAAATGGTCTCATTCAATTTAAGGCATTTTTATAGCTATCAGCACGGGTCCACAGACTTATAGCGACAGAAACTCAAGGCAGTAAATTCTCCCATATCATCCAACATGCAAAGTTCTGTTTGTAATAGGGGAAAATGGCTGCCTCAACAGAGGTGAGCAAACTTCCAGCCCGTGGTTGTCTGCTTTATTTTTTACTGGAACCCCAAAATCCGTTAATCAGACCCTGATGCAAAAGATATAAAAATGATGATAATAATAATAATTCTAGGTCCACAAATTATACGAATTTGTTTTGGATCCCCCATGTTTTGTTTTGTTTTTAAAAATTAATTGGTATAATGGGGGCGGCAGGGTAAAAGAAAGTCATTTTCGTGTTGCTTTTTTTAAAAAAGGAGTTAAAAACACCCTTAACAATCTACCGCAAATCTACCAGTAAATCCAGACCCTGCATTGTCCCACCCCTGGCCCAAACATGGTGCCTAATTTACTTGATTTAAAAGACAGTTATTCTACTAAATATCAAAGAAGTTATAGATGAAAGGAGAAAATCACAGGCCCGTGTTTTCGCTCCGGTCGCCACAAGACTTCGACTCAGAGGCCAACGCAGGTTGTGGCCCTTACAAGTAGCCCCCTCTGTTCGCCAAGCGACGGCTTCCGTCCTCTCCTCCGCCTCGACGATCCTCTTGAACCCTAGAACCAACTCCCCTACGCGCCAGGCAGGCACCACCCACATATGCCTGCCCGAGGAACTTGACGAGAACGTGGGAAGGCCCCCAGGAACCGCAAAGCCGGCTTCGGCGGAACGCGCCAACATCCAGGCACGCCCTCGATGCTGCGCAAATGTGCGCTTCGAGTAGCCCCGTGCAACCCCAGCCTGCGCGGCAGCATGTCACATAAGTGTGGGGGAGGGAAATTGAGCTTTGCGCCAACTCAATCCTTGTCGTAATTCTGCTTCTAGGCCAGACTGTTTACATGGAGGTAAGCGCCATTATCTTCGAAGCATTGGATCGAGACGTCGGCAGTTAGAGCGCTGCCACTGAAAATGTTGCACCTTAAGTCACTATTAACTACGACTTTGAATATCATGTCTGAATCCCACCGAAAAGTGCTCCCTTCCAAGTAGGTCTGCAGCCTTGGAGCTCTTCACGTCTAAACTTCGTAACCAAGGTTCGTCCTACCTATGTTAGGGTTACTGAAATCAATGGGGTTTCTGTTCAGGATAGCCCTGAACCTAATAGCCGACTGATGGCATACGACAGTTAATACGGTTGAACACGGAATTACGTTTGAGGAGACTATCCAGATAATCAGGCTGCACAAATACAATACTCAAGAGACTATTCACTTAAACCCAATCTGATTTAAATTGTGAGAAAATGTGTATACGATTACTCTTGCACATTATGGTTATATTTCTAACAGTGCATTCCTAATCAATTCTTCAGAAATGAGTTTAGACTTCGTTTTCTTTAGGATTCCCTTAGGTACCTTTTTAGACAAAGTTGGATCTGCACTAATGCTTATGCAAATAAATTGTATTTTGTGCTGGCTGAATTCAAAGGAACGTCTGGTCCAGTCTATGCTTACTGGGAGGACCCATTAAAAACATTCAGATATCCTCCATAAGAATAAGCATATTCTTCACCTTGTCATGTATTGTCATTCAAGGGACAAGTAACAGAACACTCTTCACAAGTGGTTGTGAATATGGTTGTGAATACTCCCTATATATGGAGTGTGTATGGAAAAAATAAGTTTTCTTCCACTCATAATGCTAGTGTTTGCCAGGGTCATCCCATGAAGTTGAATGATCAAAGATTAAGGATAGAAAAGAGGGCACACTTTTTCACACAGCACACAAAACTATGGAAGTAATACCTCAAGATATGATAGCCAGCAATTGGAAAGACCTTTAAAGGAGATTAGACAAATTATGGCACATAAAGCTACCAGAAGTTCTTATTCCTGTTAGCAGTATGTTATTCTCTAGTATCAGAGGTGATATGCTAGAGAACATGAATGAAAGGAGACTGTTACACTCCTACTCTGCTTGTGGGCTTCCCATGGGCATCTGATTGGTCACTGTGTAAATACGATTTTGGGGTAGAGTTGTCTTTGCTCTGATCCAGCATGGCTCTTACAGCTTTCATTTAGTATACATTATTTCAGAGTAATTTATATACATAGGATTAGGTTCTCTATATATAGTATCCCAGCATTTTTGTTGTATGGACTTCACCAAACCCAGTTAAATTGTAAGAGCTAGAGCAGTCATGTCCATATAAGTATTAGTATATTATTATCAAACTCTCTGTCACCATTTTATCCTGTTTTGGTTTATTTAATAATATATAGGATAAAGTGCTGTTTGTATAACCTATAAAGGTCATGAATTTAATCCTTAAAAAGTTTAAAATCAGACTGATTTAGGGAGTATTCTGTCCCTATGTCATCTTTTCAAGTCTGAAATCAGTGTTTGTCATTGATAATTTCTTGAAATGTTTCATTATTTTTATTAGAGAGAAATAACAGTTTAAAAGACAGAAAATACACAATTGGTATAAAATAGGCTGATAAAAAACTTATAAATTTTACAAATCTGATATAATAGTGTAATTTCTGCTAATTTACAGTTTTGTCTTCCATCTTCAATCCTAGAGTTGCTCCATTATCTAGGAGAGTTACCTTATAGGGCATGAAGGGAGTTGGATTAAATCATTTTGCTGCCTTGCCTGAAAAGGAATAGACACACTAGCACATTTTATTATATTTACATTAAATGCAACAAAATTAACAGAAACAGAAAAATATAAACAAGCATGAAATGAGGGTTACATCCAATGGGTTATATCCAATATTAGACTAACTTCATAGTTACTTCAATGGGTGTCTTCCAGCATTGGTTATACAACCCTAAGGAAGACATAGCAATGTGCCACGAAGTGATACTTAATAAAAGGCATTCCTTTGTTTTATTTATTGCCACTAATTCTTTGATGTCACAGGACCTTTTGATTTCTGTTTTGCAGCCTTCTCTTGCTTTAACTGTAATGAAAAGAAAATATAAGCCCATATAAAACCAGTGCATTTTCATTTATGGAACAAGCTAGCTATATAAGTAATTTCATATGTCAATGCCTGCCAATTTCACTTTATCTGGTCCTAGGTTCAGCAAGCCAAATCAGGGCAGTTTTATCCCCCATCAGCATTTTGGTAAATGTCAGTTCTCAATGTGAGACACTCTGATCTGCTATTTATTTTTTAGTTCCTTCCTGTCTCAGTTAAAATTGACAACTACTCTTGACAGCTGAAGTAGATAGAACATACTCTACATCTTTCCACATTACAGCTCTGAGAAGTGTAAAGAGTGCATGTTATAAGAAAGAGAACATTTGCAGCAAATAAGAAAATAAACTGAACTGGTAGAGCTGTTGCCAGTTGCTGGAGTGTCACCTGAAACCTAGAAGCTTTATCATGGCTTAGAATGCTTTCAATTTGTGTTTGAAACAGCTATTAAAGTAGGTATCAGTGCAGTTTTGTGCAAAGCTATGCACCCACATGTCAAGAAATACACTTGGAAAAACAACAAAGAGCCTTATAGCAACTTAAACAACTTTATTATGTATTAAATCAGCTTTTATAACTACAGTCCACCAAGTAGAAATAAAAGAATATTAAACAACATCAGATAAGATAATGGAAAAATTCCATCATAGCCAGAGTCTAGACAGCATCTGTTTAGAATATGGGGACAGAATTGCAACTCCAAATTCATATTATCTTTCCTCCCTCTCTGCAGAAAGAACTGAATTGGCTGCAGCTCCAAGGCTGCAAGAGTGACCATGGAGACAGAGTGGTGTACATGGGGTGAAATTGGGTGCCTCTCCTCATGCCCCATGGCAAAACACTTAGAAGGCTGAAGTATGTTGGGATTTGTAGGCCTTTCTCTGTCTAAACGTGCATGGGGTTGCATTTTTAATCAAAGTTTAATTAACCTGCAGGACAAATGTTGATATGTTGGGCTGTGAATGAAGCATACACATCTTCCTAAAAGCTTCCCCCGCCCATGTGTTTATGCAATGTGGAATAAAAATGAAACAGTTCATGATGGCCTCCAAACACTCTTGCATCAGGTTTTTTTTTCTGTACCTTTTTACTGTCACACAAGCAGCTACTGTTTTTTGTTTGGGAATTTTATGACAAAACTATAAAATTAAACAAGATAAAATGGAAGAATGTTATATAATTTCAGATATGATAGAAGAAAACTTCCATTGTTGATATGACAGCTGGAAGGTAAAGGCCCCACTGGTTCCCCATATAAATTGGATGAGACTTAATGTTTCCTTCTTTGCACTACTACATTTCATTCTGATACCAGTATAATTTTCTAACATATTTTAGACAAACTATCAACACATTAAAATTAATATTTGAGAAGTATCATCCAAATATTTTCAACATAAATGCTGTTGTTTTAAATTATCTATCCAGTGACTTACCCGTGTTTGATACTGTCTTTCAAAGTAAGCCATGTCATCTTCCTCAGGTCTTCTTAAACTAGACATAGCCATTGCTGTACTTGCACCTCCTTACAAATAATGTTTATTGATTAATTATTTTTAACAATTTTATTGGTTATAAAGTTTAGACTTGCAATTAGAATTAAAATTTATTTCAAAGAAAATCCTGGCATTACTAGGAAAATAAGTCTCACTGAAATTAATGGAACTTATTTCCAATAAATATTTAGGGTCTTTGGTTCCTTCAGTAATCTCACTAAGCACATAAGTCAGATGAAAAAAATGGAAAATGTTGCTATCTGCTATCTTGAATGAACCTGCTTGACAGTAGTGGGAATATCTGTGAAAGTAATTTCTGCCTTTGTTGTTCCATCTAAAGCAGACTAACTTAAAAATCGATAGAGGGACAGTTTTTAAAAAGTATCTCATGTCTAGCAGGGGGCACAGGGAATTTTCTTTTCAGCACTCTGCTCTCTCCTCCCCAGCAATTTTCTAACCTCCAATTGTGCAAGGAATTCTGGAAGGACATTACCTCTGAAAGAACTGATCTCAAAACCTCAAAGGCTGCATGATATGTTCTTAATCCTAAGGATATGCCCAACCCTAGTTTTTCTTTTTATTCTAGCATCCTTTTTTGGTTACATTTTTCCTGTTCAATCATCATGGAATGGGTAATACCCAGTGCATCTTCTTTTACTGGGTTCTCCAGTAAATCACAGGATTTTTACAAGAAGGAACAGGCTTTCAATATGTGGTGAATGAAAATTCTTTATGAGCTGTAGCTGTGCTCAATATTATTTTTTGTTGTAGAGTAGAAGTGCAAAACTATTTTACGAAAGAGTGCCAAATTGATCCCCCACTGAGCTCTGCAGGTCAGATGATGTTGATGGGCAGGGGTGCATCACTGCCATAATCCTATTGCTAATTTTGCTTTCTCCATGCTGAGAGAGGCATAAAGTTTGGTGCTTCTCTCAGCATTGGGAAAAGAATTCACTGGATCTGTGAGAGCAACACCTGGTCGAGTTTCAAGCTTCACACCCACTGCATCTCCAGCAATGTATTTGATCCGAAATGGGAAATAATGGGGAATTCTCCTGCAGGCTGCTCACCTTCTCACAGTTCAGCAGTAACAGCAGGGATTCCACCCAGGAGTGGGCCTTGGAGGCCAAGTTCCCTAGAGGAAACCAAAAAAGCCCTGCAAGCTGGATAGGGAATGTTCATGTGTTGGTGTAAGGCCACAGTTTCCCTAACCTCTGCATAAAATTTATTTATTCATTTATTCTAAAATGAAATTAAGACAATTAAAATATATATCCAATGTATTCAGTCAAGCAACAGAATGAGTTATTTAAAAATACTATTTTAGTTACCATCTGTCAGCAGGGAGTATGTTTGTGCAGAACTCGATGGGCCTTGAAATGCTCTTAAAAAGGGATGATCCGTATTGGTTGTAGGAAATTCTAGGAACTGAGCTGAAGGTGCTCCTTAAACCAAGAAATAAGGGCAGGGGAAACAAATACACAAAACAGCAGAACTGAATCAAAGGATCTTAAGCCACATAAGGGTCATATGGTAATAGGCAGTCTCTAAGAGTAGGCAACCTTTTTGTATTCATGCACACATTTGGAAATAGGAGAAACTGACCTGGAGACCACCAGAAAAAAGGTGCAATGGCAGATATAGGCATCAGCTTGTAGCTATCTTCATTGCTTAAAATTGTTTCCAAGGACCACATATGGTCCAAAGGCATTAATGGAAAAAGAAGGTGGTAGTGGTAAACAAACATATAAACAAACAAAAAGTTGCCACTGCAGGCAACAAGAACTGTATCTGAGGACACACTGGTGCTCCCCAGTGCCATGTTGCCTACAACTGCTCTCAGAGATATTAATCCTAAGACTCTGCAGGGTTTTAAGGGCAAGCATCAATGTAATTAGGTCTGGGAGAGCATTAGAAGCATTAGAGATCAGAAGAGTTACTATCTGGAGAAGGGTCTTTTCTGCAGTAGTGCCCTGGCTTTGGAACCAGTTCTGAAGGTGCACTTGGCGCCAACACCTTATTCATTTTGGCATAAGGCCAAACCCTTTTTATTTTCCCTATATTTTAAGATATGTTTTAATTATTAGTTTTATTGTATATTTCTATTCTATTTATGTGTGCTGCTGATTTTATTGTACTGAGACCCTCAGTATTGGATAGGATAGAAATGTTCTAAATAAATAAATAATAGAAGAGAGTGCATTTGCCACAAAATGGGGAATCACAAAGTTGGAGGAGCCCTCATAGGCCCTCTAATCCAATCCCATGGTCAGTGCAGGAAATCTACAGTTCCACATATGCATCAGAAGGAAGAATGCAGAATGTTGCACCCTCTGTAGCTTCCAAATTATACCTAAGGCCAGTATGATGTAAAGTGCACACAGGACAATTCTCCAAGCTATAAGCTTCCTCTGGTGGTGTCAGTACTTCACCCAAAAGTAGCAGTAACAAGTCTCACAACCAACATCCCCCATATGTTGTACTCTGCAATCAACCTACATTTATCAACTGCACCAATTCTCAATTTCCAGACTGATTTAGGGCTATGAAAATTGCATCTGAATGCTTACCTAAATAAATATAGAGCCAGCAATATCAGGATACTAACATCACCCAAGTTCAAAGCTGCAGATTTATCTCCTAATGACTTCCTAAAATATTGAACAACTTTGACAGTCAGACCAAACTCTGAGCAAGTTAAAACCTGTGGTGCTAAATTAGCCTGCCCAATCATGCATTACCAGGTGAGACAAAACATTTATTTCACAGGACAGTGGATCAAGGTATCACAGTAGTGTTTCTAAAATAATCAGTTGTAATCTGATTTGTACCCCTACTATAGAACCAATCACTTTTAATCGCAAAATGATCTTTCATTTCAAACGCCCCATTCTTACCTATTCCACTATCGTCGAGTCTCATGTAGCCTTCTGCAAGTGAACTAAAGCCAGTTAGACCTCCCATTGCAGCAAAAGGAACATCTTGCCCCACTGGTTTTCCTTGGGCCAAGCGCTCCTCTTTTGTTTCCACTACTGTTTCATGAGCGTATGCGGGCTGACCACATCCACAGGTAAAACAGCTGTGAAACCCTGAACATTTGGAACCTATTGAAAAACATTTGAAAAGAGTCAGATAGGCTAACACACTTTAATACCTTCTTTTACTCAGTGGCACTTTATTGTGAGAATTCCTTGCCTCAACTCTAGAAACAATTCCTACAACTGGAAACAACTAATACAGTGCATTACTACTACTGCTACTACACATTAAATTTCATTTATATCCCACCTTTCTTCTTCTTGCAAAGAACCTAAGGCTGTTCACATAGTCATCCTCCATTTTATTACGACAACTCTGTGAGGCAGGTTAGTCTGAAAGACAGCGACTGGCCCAAAATCACCCACTTAGCCCCATGGCTGACTGGGACAAGAATGTACAGTATTTGCAACTAAGTAGACATGACAGAAAGGTATACGAACTAAAAGATTATAATTATATATCCCTGAGTGCACTTCTGCATCTGATAAATGTTGTGGGTAATAAACATTACTCACTGTATCAGTAAAACAAAAAGTGTTTAGCTGACAATGTGCAGATAGCTTCTGCCTCTGCAAAGAGCTGTCAGATGGTAAAGTGTCTCTTACACTTCAGAAACTCAGATTTGGGAGCAACACAGATTAAGAAATCATGTACCATTACACAAATTAATCAACTTTAAAGTGCTTAAGGAAATGCTGAATGAGTTTTGTAGTTGCAAAATCAGAAGCATTTGAGAAATTCTTACATCTACAAATCAACATATTTATAATTACACAGTGCCTATAATTACATAATACAATGGCTAAAGAGAGACATTTGTGAAAAGGAAATTTGCTACTATAAATATAGCATGCTTATTTACAACAACATACTTACATGTGTTACATGGAAACCCAGGTCCTGCACTGTGCTGATCAGCAAAATGCTTACATCTACAACGGATGGGCTGAGTGCCATTCAGTGGGACAAAGTTATAACATTTGCATGGACATTGGCTCACTTTACAAGGGACAGGAATAGGGCGTTCTTTTGGAATCACTTCAAAGTCTGTTTTGTGTTGCTTATACCTGGGAAAAGTTCAAAAATGCAAAATATGCTTTTCAGTTATTTACTTTAAAAATCATTTAATTATCCAAATAAATTATGTTCAAAACTTGTATGAAAGAAACTGTAGCAAAGAAATGGTCCTGGTAGCCAGCCATTATTCAAGGTTACTAACAAGCTGGCTCCTCTCCTGGTTTCTGGGCAACTTATTTTGACCTAAACTCCAAAGCTGTCCCATCACTGATATTGAAGTGAAATTTAGCTCCAGTTCACTTCTACATATATAACCAGGGTTGAATCCATCTTTGCCTAAGTCAGCAGAATGCCTTAGACAAGGCCCTGATGGGATATTCAGAAATAATTTCCTTGGCCTCAGCATTACTTTCTAAAATTTTCCTTGACAAAGATTCTCTAACTACACTATCTGCTAGCATAGAAATACTTCTGTTGAAGGGGACATGTCATTATAGAGAAGAGCTTTTATTGAAGGGTATATGTCATTGTACAGAACATAATGCCTCACCTGTGCGTACAAAAACAGGGAGTTTCTGGACCCACAAGTTTACAATCCATGCCAGTTGGTGATCTCCAGCTCACATATAATCTGTTTTGTAAGCGTATTGGTAAGATTTTTTTCTTGTATTGTTCATATTCTTCAGGGGTAAAGAGTTTCCCTCCATCATCTTCACCTACAATTCTGTAAATTAATTTCCACAATATTTTCCATTATATTTTTAATTACAATTGAAGACAAACACCAAAATTTTAATAACAATAAATAAGCCTATAATTTCCAAAGCTTAAGAGAAAGGATGAAGTGGATACAGAATCCTGGAGTGAAATCTGAAAAAAGAAACATAAAATCATAGTAGTTGGAAGGGGCCAGAAGGCCAGGGGGTCTAAGTCTTTGCTCAGTGCAGGACACCCAGTTAAATCCCTCTCAAATAGCTATCCAGTTGTATCTTGAATGCCTCTAGTGTGGCAGAGCCCACAACCTATGTGACTGGGTCCATTGTTGTACAGCTCTAACAGTCAGGAAATTTTTCCTGATATCAAGCCAGAATCTGACTTGAGCCCATTATTCCATGACTTGCACTCTGGCATGAGCAAGAAGAGATCCTGTCCTTCCTCTTTGTAACAGCCTTTCAAATACTTGTAGAGTGCTATTATATCTCCCCTTTAGTCTTCTCAAGGCTAAACAGGACTAGTTTTCTCAATCTCTCCTCTTAGGGTTTTGTTTCCAGGCCCTAGTTCATCCTTGTTGCCCTCCTCTGAACCTTTTTCAGCTTGTCTGTATCTCTCTTTAAGTCTGGTGCCCAGAACTGTACACCAGATGAGGATTAGCCAGTACTGAGTAAAGGGGAACTAGTACTTCATGGGATTTGGAAATGACACTTCTATTAATGCAACCTAAGATAGCATTCATTTGCCCTTTTTGCAGCCACATCACATTGTTGACTTGCATTCAGCTTGTGATCAACAATTCCAAGATCCTTCTCACAGTATTGTTGAGCCAAGTAGTCCCCATCTTGTAACAATACATTTGGTTTCTTTTTCCTAGGTGCAGAACTTGGCTTTTTTCCCTATTAAATTTCATTCGGTTGTTTTCAGCCCAGCACACCAACCTATCAAGATAACCTTGAATCTTATTTCTTACTGTCAGGCTATTCCCTGCACTTCCTCATCCAGGTAATTAATGAAAATGTTGAAGAGCACTGGTCCCAGGAGTAAACCCTGCTGTACCCCACTTGTTACCTCTCCCCAGTTTGAGAAATTGCCATTGATGAGCACTCTATGAGTCTGATTCTGTAGTCAACTGTGGATCCACCTGATTGTTGTTCCATCCAGTACTCTTTCAGCTAGTTTGCTAATCAGGATATTAATTATTTAAAACATTTGTATGCCACCCCATCACAATAAGCCTTGGGGCGGCTCACAACACTTTGGGACACTTTTGTTAAAAGCTTTACTAAAGTCAAGACAGATTATATCCACAGCATTCCCACAGTGCATCAGGGAGGCTACCCAATCAAAAAATGAAATTAGTCAGGCAGGATTTGTTCTTGAGAAATCCATGTTAGTTTCTAGTAATCACTGCATTGTTTTCAAAGTGTTTGCAGACTGACTGCCTTATCATCTGCTCCAGAATTTTCCCAGGGATTGAAGTCCAATTGACTGGTCTGTAGTGCCCAGTTTTTTTCCCCTCTCTTGACAAAAGGGACAGCATTTGCCCTTCTCCAGTCACCTGACACTTCCCTGTCCTCCATGTTTTCTCAAAGATAACAGGCAATGGTTCTGAGAGTTTTTCCACCAGTTCCTTTATGACTCGAGAATGGAGTTCACCAGATGGAATTCATCAGATTTGAATTCATTCAACCCTTTACTTATCATCATTCTGAGTTTATTAAAATAGTCTTTCTTGAAATCCAGGGTGTATGGCTACATTTGGCTTTTGCTTCCGTTAGAATCAAGAATTCAAGTATGGCATGGTCATTTTTTCCCAGAGTTCCTGTAGCTGCCACTTTGTCCACTAGATCTTCCCTGTTGATCATTATCACTGGAAGATGTCTTCTAATTCTGCTCATACTTGTGGTTCAACATCTAAATAGTACTGTGATCCTCAACATACTTTATGAAATTCTTTCTGCTTTGAGGAAGTAGTTTGAGTGTTTCAGTCTAAAGTCTCTACATCAAACATATACAGTGGTACCTTGGTTCATGAACTTAATCCATTCCACAACTCTGGTCACAACCCGAACTGGTTGTGAACTAAGTCAAATTTCCTCATAAGGTTCAATGTAAATAAGGTTAATCCGTTCTGTAAATATTTTTTTAAAATCACAAAAATTTGAAACAAAGTAACAAAGAACAAAGTAATGACTTCACTATCTTGTACTCAAGAGACCGATCAGTCACACGAATACCACGCTCATGCTTTTCTACCATTTCCTCCTTCAACTCAGTAGTTATTGTCTTCAAAACCTTCTTCTTACCATTCTTGCTCTGCATGTTCTGGTCACCTTCATTACCGCTTTGCACATTCTTTTTATCACCCTGCTTACTCTGCACTTTCTTTGGAGCCATTATTCAATATTATTATTATTGAATAATACTTCACAGCAAGTCACCACAGGTCTGTCTGCGACTGTGAGCTGGGAATATGGCCACAATCGCAATTGTGTTCATGCAGGAACATGGCCGTGATCGCGGTCATCACCCAATGTGGAGTTCACGAACAGAGGCAATTTTTTTCTGAAATTTTTGTTCGTGAACCAATTTGGTCATGAACTGAGGCATTTGTGAACCAAGGTACCACTGTACAGCATTGTGGTATAAGTGGTATCCCACTAGCTCACATTCTGTAATGTACAAATAAGTAGTCCTACAGACTCATCCTTCTAGGACATAAAGTCCCCAAATTTCAGCCTCTTACCTTTTACTTTTTGAATAAACCAAAACATGCCCAGAGCCCAAAAGGCCCCCTAAAACTCCATATAGTTCTATGGGGTGCTTTTATAATCCAAAATATAGGCCCAAACAAAGGAACAAAATGTTCAATACAGGTCATATTGCTCTCTTTTTAAAAATCTTATCTAAAACCTCCAGCAAGCAGAACTTAAATCTGTTGAGGAAAAGCTTTTCTTTCTTTTCCTTTTCTAAAGTTAGTAGGCCAACCTATTGTTACACAGGGAAAAAAAAGACCAACAAGCCAAGCACTGTTATGCAGATGTTGTTTTGCATAGCCTCAGGAAGGATTAAACCTTGTATTACCTCTACTTATTGAGAACTGAAAGTCATTGTCAGGTTGACTGAAACCTCCTGGAGGGAAAATTCAGCTTGAACAAAAGTTTTCATAGGTAGCATTTTCCTCACCTGAGGCACTCTAGTCTGGGGTCAAAAACAACCCCAAATGGAACTAGTTTTTTCATGATGCAGGGTGAAATGTTAAATCATAGCAGTTTCCATTATAGGACCTAGGCATCCACACATTTACAGAATCTTTTACATTTCTATTCAGATACAAGTCCCCAAAATAATCCAGTATAGGACTACAGTCCTAGATCTAATTCAATACTGCAACAACACTGATTCTGCACAGAAGTATTAATTACCTTTCCGTCTTATGTGATTAAATATCCTAACTTGTCATCTTGGATCAGTAGAAACCACTCCTTTAAAGACATCTCCTAACCTCTTTTGTATTTCTTAAAGCAAGCCTAGTATCCATTAGTTTAATGCAGGGCTTTTTTTGTCATAGAACGCACCGGAACAACGTTCCAGCACTTTTTTTCAGTGGATTTTACTAAGTGATTTTGAATCGCCTGGCCGCTAGCAGGTCAGCAGCAAACATCATTAACATAGTGCCTGTGTCCGTGCTCATAGTGAGGGCACGGCTTGTTGCTCTGCTGCTCTGGGATTGGTGTGTGTGGTTGCCCACTGCTTACTGCTGGCGGCGACCATTATGTTTATGTGTGTGAAGTGAGTTCCAGCACTTTTTTTTTTTTTTTTTTACAAAAAAAGCACTGGTTTAATGTGATAAGTTCCTGGTGACCGTACAGAGAGATGCATTGTTAGGTTGTGGTGCTTACCTTGAATAGACACTGTGTTTTATTTCCTGCTCATACAATGCAAAATTTTCTTTTTCTTTTTAATAACTGTTTTGGCTAATTGCTATGCGTATCAAATCTTAAGTTCTGACTACAAAACCAATGCAGATATCATAAAGGAAACCGATCGTTCAATTTTCAATCATTTTGGGTTTTTTACTACATTTGTATCTTGCTTTTCCTCCAATGTCCTGAAGGCTGTATACAACTTTAAAACTACATAATTCCTGCTTTTATCTATATGGTGCAACCAGAAGATAAGACTAATGATCTAGGGAAAAAGGTTTCAAATCCACCCTCACCTATGCTCCTTCCTGGATAACCTTGCACCATTCACTGGCTGGATTCAGATGATAAATGGAAAGAGAAGCTGTGGTGGGTTTTTTTTCTCAGCCTTCGCATGCTACATGATTTGCCTAATTACCCATATAGCATGCAATTTAGTGTCATCTGAATTCAGGAGGTGGCTTGTACGATTGTGGGTAGATTTGAAGCCACTCACTATGCACCTAATCAGGTTTGGACAATGCAGAAAGCTGTGTAGGTAATTGGGAAAATTGTCCAGCACATGCCATGGCAGGAAAACGAAGCCATGTGGCTTTTCCTGCTAGTCATCCAAACCTGACCACATTCTCTTGGCCTGAAGGATCTCATAGGAATGTTGTGAAGACAGGGGGACAATAATGACTTACTACATTTTGGTCTCCTTGGTCTGAGGATGGGGTATAAATAAAAAACAAATCACAGTAGTCACACTCAGGGAAATTTATTTATTAATTTATTCTACTTATGAGTCATCCTACAGGCATATTACAAAAGAAATACTAAAATACAATTAAATACAAATCAAAACAGCAATCCAAACACAATTTTCACCACCAAAGACTAAAAGCATCACCAAATACTAAAAAGATTAAAAAATAAAAAACTTGGAAATAAATGTCTATCCCATATCATTTTCCCCCAAATAAAGCAATGCTATTAAGCTTGCACAAGGCAAAAAATACTGATATTTGGCCTTTTTATATTAAAGCTGCCTGGATAGCATTTCTCCATGGCAGGGGGAACTTTCCTCATCACCACATCTCTATGCTAATATGCCCTATGCTTCTTCAATTTGTCGCACATCCAGTCATGCTAAAGATGCAAGTGCATGGGGAAAATTGCTGGTTTTGCCCTCCAGACTGTGTTGGTCTGCAGCTCCCATCATCTCACAACTGGATTTGCTGGCAAGGGCTTACGGCAGTTATAGCCCAACAACAGCGGCATAGGCAAACTATATTCTTCAGTCGTGGTGAAGCAAATTACCTGCACACATGCTCAGTGACCTCTGCATTTCTTCATACATGTCCCAGGAGAGAGTTCTGATATTTCAAACGCACAGTGGGCACAAAGGCAGGTGAAGCCAGGCAAGATAGCCAGTGTGGTGTAGTGGTTAAGGGTGTGGGTCTGGGACTCAGGTGATCTGGCTTTTAGTCCCTGTTCAGCCATAGAGCCGATTGGGTGACTTGGGCCAGTTACAGACAACGAGTCCAACCTACCTCACAGGGTTGTCAGGAGAATGATGTAAGCCACTTTGAGTTTGTGGTAAGAAAAAAGCGGGCTATAAATCAAATATATAAATAAGCAATTTACAGAGCTCCTTCTCCCTCGGACGAAAGTCGTTCGGCCAGCCTTTACGCAATCGGAAACACGGCAAGTAGAGGCCTTCCGCTCCCCTCCTCCCTTCGTTAGCGGCGGCCCTCCGTCCTCACCTCTTATACTCCAGGTACTCATCAATGGATGCAGCGGCTCCCGGCTGTAACGTCAACCGCTCCATGGGCCAAGGCTGACGCTGGCGGCGGCTCCCTCCCACCCCAACACTCCCCGGCGTGCAGCGGAGACGAGTTTCCTCAGGAAGGCGAGACACGCAGCGACGCCTCGCGGGAGAGAAGTGGGCGGCCCGCCCTTCTTTCTGCACCCGCCCGAAGGAGCGCAGAGGCCGCTACGGCGCCATTGTGCGGCGTTTGTTGGGACTCGGCCGTTGCTTGGAGGCGGCGTCTCTAACGCTCCTTTCAGTGACTACTCCAGGAGTTTTTTTTGGGGGGGGGGGGCAGGACAGGAAGGGAGAAGTCCGTTTGTCTACAATTGCTTCTCCCCGGTGTTTTAAACTACCCTCTCCGTTTAGAAATACAATTATCTACTTGCGACGTAGGTAATTATCACGCAAATTTAAAGAGGAGGTTCTCTTCCCGCTCCCCTCGTACTCAACAGTCTCAAGCCTGCTGTCGGTCACCATCCCGCCCTGTAGTTTCAAGCGCCTTCTCGTAGGGCAAGACGACGTCAGATTTTTGGACCCTGGTGATCTAGCCTCTCGCATTCCAGGTGCGCCAGTTAGCCTTAATCCTGCTCATTCAAAATTGAACTGTAGCATAAGGAATTCAGTAGCCATTTTGTAAAACTGTATGCGGATGAAGAGCGCTCTGACTGAAGCGGTGATCTGCCCTTGCTGAAATTACGAGAAATAGACGTGATGAGTATGAATAAGCGTTGCTTGTGCCACCTACATTGATCTCTTTCCCTGATCCAGCACCTCCACAAAACACTCTGAACAGAGGTTAACGGTTTTTTTCCTGACAAGAGCTTTACTGCTTACTGCTGGATATTCTGTATAAATTGGGCATGAGATGATTCCTTTCCATCACTGTATGCCCAGGCCAGAGAAAGTTGTGCTTCTTTATTTCATCTAGCTGTTCAACACCTAAGATGGGGATGGAAATTATCCATGGATAGCTCTAAATACAGCACTATAAAAGCAGGCCTGTTTCATCAGTTTGAGTTATATCCAAAACAGAAGATACTAATAGTACCATCTGCTCAGAAGTAGTGAATAGAAGCTACAGAAAAACTACTAGGTCTAATTCAGTTCTCTTGTGGTATCACATTCCAGATGATCACAGGTAATATTAAAAATAAGTTCCATACAAACCTTTTCCGCATATGCCAAACTTCAAGTGTTTCTAAGCAGTTCTAAAAACTGATCTGGTAAACTAATAATGCATTAATGGAAGATGACAAAAATGGACTGGCAGCAAATCTAGGGCAGTGCAGAAAAGGTAGTGGAGGGCCCAACTGCTCCCCTGCTCATACACATAGTTACTTGTCTGCAAGCTGCACGTTCCTCTGCATGATTATCTGTCCATCTGAAAAACTTCAGTGTATTCTGCAATATGAAAATGCTTAAGCGAGTCTAAGTATAATTAGACTCAAAATTAAGAATATTTGGGCCACAGTTTGGAAGCTAAATACCTCTACTGATGTACAAAGGAATAATACAAAGGCAAGGAATAGTACAAAGTATATTCACAATTGCAGCCTTGGTTTTGTTCCTGTATCCTTGCATTCAAGGATACACTAGTTTGGGAAAGTGTACTTGGAATCAAATCCCAAAGTAAATAAAAATAGTTTCAGTTGACTTAGAATCTCAGTCCTTTGCATGCATAAAAAGCAGGGGTAATTATGATGGCAATCTTTTTTTTAAAAAATCCAAAAACCCTATTAGTGTAATACTTTATTATGCCAACTCAAGAGTCACAAAAATGTACAAGGTTTCAAGATCTCCAAATCTCATCAGCCAGGATGATACAGAAAGTATGCAAGGGGAATGTGCTTTGCCTAATGATATAGTTAGAAGTAACAGCTAGATTGTATAATTTCAAAAGTGCAGGATCAACCACTGTATGGTTATTTTGTTCCCCGTAATAAGCAGGGGTACCTAATCTGAAGAGTTTCAGTCCTTTCTCCCCAATTTAATCTCAAAATTATGTCCATGCAGACTTTATGACTTTGATTTCCAGGTAGCTTTTTCCCAGTCCAGACATCCTTGCTTTTTGTAACACCTTGTCTGATGAAGAGATGTGGAGATTTCAAAAAGCATGAACATTTTTATAAACTTGCAGTGATCTAATAAAGCTACTATGTACTATTATGGATTTTAGAGTTCTAGACTATGTCTACTCAGACATAATTCCCACTGAATTCAGTGACGTTTACTCCAGTGAGCATAAGTTTGCAGAGAAGTCAGCTCAGAAACAGGTTGGTGCAGGACTGTGCCATTAGCCATTCTCCTCACTAAGTCTAGTCTGCAACTTTTAAGTCTATAAATTAAAATAATGGAAGGGACTGAATAAAAAGCTGCTTTTGAAAACATCTGTGCATTTTCATTTTATGCAAAATCACCCATACAGTCATACAAGAGAATAAAAATCAACTTGGCACTCAACAGTTTGACTATATAGATTTCACTTTATTTTTAATCTACCCAGACTGTAGTGTCATCTGCAGAAATAATCATGAGGATGGTTTATCTAGCACCGCAAATCTGATCCTTTCTTTAAATAAAATGTTCTTTCAAAACTACACAGCCTATTTTAAGCAAAAATGCTAGAACACTTTAGAAATCATTCCATACCAATGCAAAACTTAGACTGGCACTTCATTTTATAATTTATGATACAGAAAGCACACTGTGTAATATAGTGCTCCCTCACTGCAATTCTCCGCTGTAAGGCTAACATGGATATAAGGCAATGCACACCTTTGCTCCCACTTGCTTTCAAGTCCTCGTAAGAAATCTTGGGTTCAAATCTATCAGGCATTACTGTCTTACAACTATCACTCATTTCAAAAGGCAGTCACAGAGCAGCAGTACCTGCCTTACAGACTGCATTCCCTAGCATATCTCTTCAGTTAACATCACGATGCCTTGCTTCTCTTCATCTAAGTTTAGCCCATTCCTCTTGTTTTGCTTAAAAAGAGGAAATGAGATAAGTATCACATTTCTCATAGGTTGTAAGATAATCATATAGTCAAGTCAAAAGCAATGAAAAAAAGCTAGCAGTGTTCAACATCAGTGTGATTTTATCACTTAGGTTTATCTTCAGTTGCAAAATACATTTAAATATTTCTGAAACAGCTATGTATACCATTGCAGATTGCAGTTTGCCTCTGACTGCCCTTGTTCAGCAAGTGCACACTTCAGCATAGTACTATTTTAAGTTTCACACATGTGAAGTGTATTTTTAATATATTCTCTCTCAAGCTATTTCAGATAGTGCAAATAAAAGACATTCTTTGGATCACCACTTTAGGATGTTATCCACAATGTTACTTAAATTGTAAAAAACCAAATAAGCTAAAGGTGATGTTAAAATACTTTATACATATACTTCCCAGCACTTATGTTAAAGGCATTGTTCTTCATTGTTTTGCATTAATCACAAAATTAAGCCAAAATGCTAGAAAATTAAGCCAATTTTTCCTAAGATACATTAGATTTATATTTAGGTAGATATTAAATCTGTATCTTTTCCATAATTGTCACAGAATCTCACACATGATTTACAAATTTACCTACTTACCATTCTAGAATAGCTATGTAACCAGCATATCTTTAAATAAGATATAATACAGCACTGTTTTATGAAAGAGCTATCGTAACACAAAAGCTTTTCAAAGCTTTATATAAAGAAGTTGGGACTGTGTTGCAACAAGTTGTAGACTTCTGTAGGTCAGCCATTCTTCACTGAAATCTGTAGCAGATACAGCTACAGAAAATGTTCTTGAATGCTATCTTAAGTTGCCTGCTGCATTTACCCGTTTGCTTGTTGTTGCTGGCATCAAGTTCCCATTTGTAGTGTTTGTTGTCGAGCCATTTACAACCATGTAATCAACCTTGTTTTCCAGTTTGACCAAGCGTTGCAAGATGTCATCTAGAAGAACTGCAATTGTTCTTTTGAGATCAGCTAGAGTAAATGAGAGAGAAAGGTATCCTGTCTATTTTGTACTCCAGAGTTGTAATACTGACAGTTAATACTGACATATGTGCACACACTTGTGTCAGGATTTTACACTGTTCAGAAAACATTGAATTGCACTGTGCCTTAAGACAGCAAAATAATGTCAACAGTTGGCAATGGAGAGAGTAAGTCAGTCCCAGATAAATTGTTGTTTGATCGGTTGGTTGAGGGAAGATTCACCCCTTTCCAGTCAAGGCAATAGACACACACTCTTACATTGCATTTTTGTTGCTGGGGGGCAGGTGCTGCTACATTCTAGGTTTTGCCTTTAGCAACATATGATAGGTTCCATTTCATGTAATTTGAATGGCACAGAGCTATCCAAAGCATCTGTCTTTGTTTTTTATTTACCACACAGTGGCTTAACAAGTTCTAAAAATTATTTAGTGCACAGAAGCACTGCATTTTAACTCATGCATTTCATTTTATCAGTTGCTCACATTATGCAAAGTATACCTAGATACATTTCTCCACAATTAAACTTCTGTGGTGCAATTCTATATGTCTACTCAGGAGTAAGACCCATTGCATTCAATGTGACAATGTGATTTACTTCTAGGTAAGTGTGAATAAGATTGCAACATTTTTCTTGTATGATACTTTTTCAGTTAGGCTGAATCTTTTAGAGGCTGCATAGCTAGAACTTTGCCATACTCAAAATGTTGAATACATAGTTTATATGGTAACAGTAGGATTGGGTTGGTTCTTTAAAATCTGTTCTATCTGCATTTTGAGAATTGTCTTATTCCATCATGCACTCATTGAAGACATTGGGAAGGGAGGGTTGGAATTTCATCTCAATTCAAATTTCAGAGGTTTCATTTTAGTGCAACTGTGCAAAGCTCCACTACAGTTTTTTTTAAGTCCTCAATTCCATAGAATACATGCAACTCAGGAAAAAAACCCAGCCAGAATCTGCAGATTAGATTCCTTAGAGGGCAGGACATATTTGAATCAACTGCAGATTTCTCCAGATGATTATTATCTGTATCTTTAAAAGCATTTAATACTCTAATGACCTTTCTCAAGGGTACAAAATATTAGGCACCTATAAACCTCAAAAGAACATGTGATTAAAAAGCAAGAATACAGAGATAATTGCCTTAACATCTCCTTTAATAAATGTTGCTTCCCTTTTGTACCACACAGTAGGTTTACTGAAAAAATAAAAAAAAATCCTTATTCTTGTTTCATGATCATACTGTATTATAGATGTAAAATTAAATAGATGTGATATTCATTAAGTCTTACCATATCCTGCCATAGAAATTCCATTACCACCATTCATTATATTCTTGTTTTCTTCTGCCAGTGCTCTAACATATTTTTTACTCAAGTCAAGTATTTGCTCACGTAACTCAGCACTGCTCTGTTGCCTTGGATGCTGAAAAGTGTAGCGCAGTAACATTATGCCCCAGATAAAACCAAACACTAGTAACAATAAACTCAATTTCTGGGACACATTTTTTCTTGAAAATGCAAAAAACATCTCTGAGCAGGCCAAAGGTGTCAACATAAGGTTGCAGTCACAATATTTTCATGATATATTTATTTTAAGCATCTTCATAATGCAGTCACTCTTCCAGGGAGAGCATTCTGTACACTTTTCCCAGTGGACATGCTTGATTCCTGAAATAATTTTTTTAAAGTGTTATTGGTGAAAATTCTTTAAGTCTTTGCAAAATATAAAATAACAATCTTTATTTTGTATTCATGCAGAGTAAGCTATAAGAGAGAAGACCAACCATTATTAGTGCAAACTCTTGAGAGCATAGGATGAATACTGAAGTTACAATTTATTGAAACATATATATTAAAGAAAACCTAAGCCTACTAGTTTTCCAAACCATAACCATGCAAGACAACAGTAAGAGTATGAGTTGGAAGCCCATGATTCATGCTACAGTAATGAACTAGGTTTGTGTCTTAGTTGCACTATTGTAGCTTCATAAATGTAACAGAAGTAATAATGCCATCCTACCTTAAAGATTTGTGAAAGTTAAGAAATATATATGAATTACCATAAACACTAATAAGAGCTAGTGTGGTGTATTGGTCAAGAGTATGGGACTGGGACTCAGATCTGCATCATAGTCCCCATTCAGCCATGGAAATTACTGGGTGACTTTGGGCCAGTCACAGACTCTCAGACCAACCTACCTCACAGGGTTGCAGTTGTGAGGATAAGGTTGAAAGGAGGAGAATTATATAAGCTGCACTGAGCTCCTTGAAAGGAAAAAGGGGGGTTGTAAATAAAATAAATAATATGCAGGTATATTCAGAAGTGCCATGAATTCAATATGGAAGCAACTCTCTAGAGCAAAGTTGAGCAATCTGCAATCCTCCAAATATTGTTGGATACTATTAGTGCTAGCCAGCAAATCCAGTAATCAGGGATGGTGGGACTTGGAGTTGAACAACATCAGATTGCCCACCCCTTCTCTAGGGAGTATGCCCCATTGGCCAAAAATGGGATTTATGTCTAGGTAAGCATGTTTAAGATTGTGCTGTAAAGGTTATTATGACTGTCAGCCTGTGAAATGGTTCTTAAATGATACTTTTCCATATCAGATTAATCTGTTAATTTAAATAAAAATACATATGATAACAATACAAACAGCTTCATTTCTGAAATAATGAAGGAAATAAGGTAATTTTTTGTTTAACAGAACTGCCACATTAGCTGGAGCAATCCTAATCTGATCAATGGACTGCAGGTCAAAATATGTATTCAGGCTCAACAGTACAGTGAACTGACATGCATGTATTCAGTCTGATATATTTAGTTATCAGTGCATATAACACAATCTTTTGCTTAACCAACAACTATTTAGGAAGTGATAATTGTTTGAAGGGGAAAAATCCAAGGGTAAGATAGTCAAATCTCATTTAGGGTGCCCCCTTTGTTTAAGCATATTGAAGAAAAAGTCAAATATAGATTTGGGGCACAATCCTATGCATGTTTGGATAGAAAAATATCCTATTGATATCAGAATTTCTTAGCCACTAATTGGGCTTTTACTTTTGGGTCACATCTAGGAACTCTAACCGCATTTAAATTCTGCTTAAGTTTCTACCGTATATCTAATCACTTCACAATACATATCTTTTTTGTGCATTGCTTAGCAGCAATTCACATCATGTAAACCAAATTATTTCTTTATTTAGCCAGCTTATGTAAGTATGCAAGGTACAGAGACTGGGATTGGGCTGAGAACAACACTGCAAAGAGAACTAATATGCCCTTTGGCAATCCAGCAGCCTCCTGGGGCATATAAGCAGGTCCACCGCTGGGTGGTAGGCCAGCACAGATCCAGCTTTGGTTTGTCCCTTCAGGATGCCACAAAGGTGAGTTTGTCTCTTATTTTTCCTCTTCACTCATCACCCATTCCTAGGCACCCCGTGTTTCAAGCTAGCAAGTACTTCATACTAAAGAATTTTGTACTTTCAACATTTTACACTAGTGGAATACACAATAAAAAATAAGGCAGATAAGGTATACTAAACAGTTTCCTTGCCATATTGTAAGATTTCTCAAAAACTGTGTTTAATTGGCATAAGGCAAATGTGCTGCAACACTGCAAGCTCTGGAGTTGCACTGAAGTCTGATTATAGTGTTCTCTGGGATCCAAAACTTACTGTCACAAAATAGGAAGATGTGTATTTTCTGTTGTTGTCCTTCTAACAAGAAAAACCCTATCTATAACTATATAGACCTATCTACTCAAAAGAAAGCCCTGTTGAGTTGGGTGATAATTACTCCCAGGTAAATGTGTACACAACAGAAGTCAATGGGACTTACTTCTGAGCAGAAGCAAATAGAATACAAATGTTAGTCTCTGAAGGTAAAGTTCAAATGTTTATGAGAGTGAAGCAAAGCTAAATCTGGCAAGCAAAAGAGGCCTTAGAGGAAAAGAAAACTGTTCTGATTACAGCCTACAAACACTCAAATAGCAATCTGCCGGCTGCAAGAGAGGGAAAGCAGAGAAGAGCGATCTGGGAATGCACACGCCGATCTAAGGCAGCTTTCCCCACCTTCGTGTGCTCCAGATGCATTGGACTACACCTCCCAGCATCCCCAACCAGCAGTGCTAGCTATGACATGAGGGAAATTGTAGTTTAATCCATGGAGAAAAAGGCTCCAAGGTGGGGAAGGCTGATTTAGGGACGCAGAAAGTAAAGTAATAACAACCTTGACTTATGTTGGCAAGTTCCCCAAACATTTAACGTCCTGAATGTATCCAACAAAATAAAATTAACAGTGTTACATCCCTCCCGGACTGTACCTTAGAAACGCAGCTGCTTGCCATCGCATCAGGGCCATTGGCCGTGCAGCAGAATCGCTTCCACTGCAACCCTCTAAGACATCGCCAATCCCCAACGGGCCAACTCTTCCGGCACTAAACCTCCCCCTTACCCTCTCCGTCTCATCCAGATCACGCTCTCCAATCCCAAATGGAGCTCCCATTCAGCTACACGAACTCTGCTGGGCTGTCACCACGCTCAGCTCCCTGGCCCAGGTCCACCTATTCCAAGCCTGAACCTCCTGACTGCGCTGCCCATAGAGGAAGACCGGAACGCTCGTACCGCGAGTAGATTTCACTTCCGGCTGTTGTTAGAAAGAGGGCGAAAGCACCATATGCGGGCAGAAGGAGAAGGGCTGCAACACGTGACTTTGACCATCGCTCGGGTTTCTGCAGTAACAAAATCTACTCATTTCCGCTCTTCAAGGTTCAACCTATTCCTAGTTGTAGAGTGCATGATTATGTTTTTGACGCACGCATATTAGTAAATTCTATTTCTAAAAAAATGTATCCCATGTAAAATTCTTTTAGGCTTCCTTTTAAAGGTAAAAACCTTGGTTTAATAATTTTATTAAAGCTGTAGTCTTATATTTACGGGAAGTACGTCCCATTGAATACCGTGGGGCTTCCGAGTAGACAAGGACAGGTTTGCAATATCCGTAGCATTATTTTTTCTGTACACCAGAGGACGCGAGTTTGATTTGAAACTGAGTTCTAGATTATTCTTTAATTTATACAGGAAAAGTTAGCAATTTGCTACTCCTGCCTGGTTTTCAGCGTTGGCTGCTTGAGTTAAGAACTAACGATGTTATTTCGACATAACAACGGCTATCAAAGGTACCTTTCTAGGATCTACCTGCTACTGCTGTGTCCCTTGCTGTGAATTCTATGATCTGAGAGCTGTCTGTAAAGAATGTAAACACTGTTGTGTTGTGTTGTGTTAGGATTGGGTGCACAATAAATCAGAAACTTAGGTTCAGTATGGACTATGTGGGCAGAGAAGGAGGTGTATTTTGATTCCTAAGAAGTTCAATACCAATCTTTTGAAATATTTCACCTCCTTTTGCGAGCATACAGTGCTATCACAGAAGCTGTGACCAGGGTAGGAAGGACTTTAAAGGTGCTATCCTGTGCCTGTTCAGGGAAAAAATGGCCTATAACTCCCAGTGTTCCTCAGCCAGCCATGTTAACTGAGGAATGCTCGGACTTGTAGGACTTCTGTGTAAGCATCTATAGGGTTGTACTCTTAATATGCTAACTTAAATTCTGCTCCTTCCTCGAAACCCTCTCTTCAAAACTGCCCAATTTTGGTCTCTTGCACTGACAGTGAGCTTACACCACGATGAATATATTAACTGATACATTTGTATGAAGCCCCCAGTACCAACCTAAGTCTGGAATCTACCAATGTAGGGGGCATTTCAGTACAGCAAAATGCTCCAATCAGCTTTCTTACAACATGATTGCATTGCATAATTAGTACAAAAGTTCAATTTTGGGGGTACTGGAATGTAGATATGCATGTGAGTTGAGTGCATGATGCTTAGTTATCATTACAATTCCCATGTACAGTGACAAAGAAAACCAGAAAGAGTCCACTATGTACTATCAAAAGAACATTTACAGTGTATTCAGACACACAGGAAATACATATCGCATGTAGGTAGCTGCTGAAGGAAGTACAAAAATGGAGCCTGTGCAAGACTCTTTATAACCTATCAGTTACATGCACAGGAGGGGGAAATAGCGTAGGCAGGTTGCTATAGGCACAAGAGAGTACAACAATAGGGTTGAATGAACTGGGACAACACAAAAAGAGCAGGCAAACATTAACATGTCTAAGGTGCTCCCCCAAAGGAAGATGGTTCAGGATATTAGCATATGTAATGTATATATTAAATCTAAAACTAATCTTACAGTGTCAGGCTTTTAGCAACCATATTATGGCAGAGCTTTCACTCATTTTGTCTTGACTGTTAGCAAATAATAAACACACACACACACACACACACACACAGAATCCATCTATCTCTCTCTTTAAAAAAAGAAGGATTTTAAAACAAACACTTTTTGTCTTCTTTCCATCTACAGGAAAGTTTTAAAGAATCCCTTTCCCACACCCCATGAAATACAATAAATAAATGCTGAATTATCAATCCATGCATTCCATAGTAAAAAGGGGCATCTATTGTATAGAGCCATATGATTTCAGATAACTGTTGTGTTTTATTGTTACGACATGCATGGAAACTACAAACAGCTTTTTTAATTTAGAGGAGAATTATGTCAGCCTTAAAAGGAAAAAGGCAGGCTATACATACATACATACATACATACATACATTGTTGTTGTATCACTGCTGAACAAGAGTTTTTTCAGCTTGAACTGAGAAATTATGCTCATCTGTTCATCTTATATTGTGATGGCTTGGGCATTTGGATACTGGGAGATACAAGTGAAACTCACATGGACAGATGTACCTAGCTGTCTGTTATGGAAAAGAGCAGGTTTGCAGCAATTCTGTTCTAACATGGCTGACAAAGGTGTTTGTGTGGGGGGGATGGAATTACCTGATCCAATTTGGCAGACCTTAATTTTGCCACTCTACCCTTCTATCACTTTCTTCTGCTCACTCCTAGATGTACAAAAATGGATTTTAAAAAATAATCACGTTAGTGAAAACAGTATCTGACGTGTTCACCAAGCCCATTTCTCTCATACACTTCAGCTACTGACTTGAAATGAAAGTTCGCTTCAAAGTGCTGTAGCTTGTGAGGATGTTTCAGAGGCACGTTTTCCACCAAATTTCCAACATGAAATGGATTAAGGACAACTGAAGCCTGCCCTCTGCCAATAGTTATTTTGGACCAGGTTAAAACTTTTCTCTACTCAGAGGAATTTGCTGTCACATCGTAAGGCCAAGTAGGGCTTTTAATGTCCGATGTTGTTATGAAGTCCTAGTATTATATTAACTCTTTTTAACTGTTTCGAATTGTTTCAATTGTTTTTGTATGTTAAGCAGACAATTTGAATAGAGAAATTTAAAAGGAAATATAGAGGCGATTTTGGTTGTAATCCTATACTAATTTAAATTAGAGGAAATCCCACTGAAGATTAGTGGGTTCTAGAATACAGTCAGTTGAACAATAAGCCCTAGGGATTGAAAGCACCAAACCAAAGTGACATTGAGTGTGCTTCTCTCTCCTCGCAGATTCCAAGAAAAAGTCCAGCAAGCAGAACCACAATCTAAAACCGAAATAAACAACCAGTGCACTCCTAGCAATACCCTAAACAAACAGAACTCACAGGAGAGCTGTATCGACTCTACTACGCTTGCGCCAGTCATCATGCCGGCTTCATCGTTCCGGGCGACGGCGGCGACAGCTCCATTGTGGCACACGGGGGCGTGGCGCTAAAGAGCCCCGCCCCTTCCCGCGGAGGGTCGGGCGCAGACTTTCCTGACCGAGGCGCCATTTTCTGCCGCCGTCGCCGCCACTAGGAGAGTTGGTTCAGTAAAGGCAGTGCCTAGAAAATTCACTGCTTTTCAGCCGGGTTGCTGCTCGTTCGGCTCGTCTGCCGCGTTAGGAACGCGCCAACATGAGCGACGTGGAGGAGAATAACTTCGAGGGGAGGGTGAGTAGTCAGCGGTTCTTACCGGGCCGAGGTGTCGGAGGCCTGGCCTGGCCCTGAGGGCATGAAGTGGGCGAAGAGGAAAAACGCGCCTCACCGAGCCCGAGGCAGGGCGGAGTCACCAAGAGAGGCTTCGTTGTTTCTCGCCAAAATGGTTCCTCAGTCCGAGGTGGGGCCGCGCCGCCTCCCGCCCTTCGGGGCCTATCTCTCGGTTTCTGTTCCAGGCCTGGCCTGCTATTGCTTCCTCTCTCCCTTAGTCTCCATTACAGGATCTTCGGGTTTAAAAGCCATGTGCTTGGACGCCTGTTTTTAACCGTTTCACCCGCACCGGCTTAATGGGTATTTTCTCCCGTTGCCCAATCCTGTCTTCTTCCCCGTTTGTGCCTGTGGACTCTGCTGTGATCTTTCGCTGCAGATTGCCATAAGCTTCTTCCAAAAACATTTTAAAAGTCTTACCCAATCCCTTGAATATAAACCTCAGTCATAGTAGGTAGTGGGGTGGGAGGCACGCTCCGTGTAAACGCGGCGGGTGGGCAAGCGAAGAGTCGGAGGTTGGTGTCCAAAGGCTCGGGAAAGCGAAGGCGCGAAGATCTCTAGGGAAAGGGGTTTTCCTGAACTTCCTGCATGAAGGTATGAGCTGGAAGCCAGAATAATCCTCGTATATCTAAGGCACTGAGACAGGGTAATGCCATGTATTTTTATTTGTACATTTTTGTAGTTAGTAACGATAAAATAGACACTGCCCAGATTCTAATCCATGGCCCCATATTTCTGCCTTACATGCATAGTTCTGATCTGTTGTGGTGGTTTTTCCTTAAATGTTTCAGGGAATTCCTAGGTTTTTTTCCCCCTCCAGGTATTTTCTAAAGGAGACTTAAAGCTTCTCTTGCTTTTAAACATAGAAACAAAGTGAGTCAGAGGGGTCTCCCGGGTCATCTAGTCTGACCCCCGGCATGCAATACCCAGCAAGTGGTTGTCCAGTCTTTCTTAAAAGAGCAGTGGCAATATGTTTTTAAATTGAGTTTGAATGGTTGCCTCTTGTTAAATGGTTTTATTTGTCAAGGAGTGGGTTGTATTTAATGATAGTCAAACGTTGTGTACAACCACTTGTTTGTGGGTGGGTTTTTAAAAAAGAGTTTTGGATCTGTTACTATATAGCTTAAGAGAAACTCCCCAGTATCATGATGTATGTTTGTTTTAGCCTGCAGCTTTCCCTGTAAGCCTGGAAATTACTACCAAGTTTGTGTGAGCAGCTCAAATAATTTTTGGCTGGAACATCTTTGTGTCTTTACAGTTAAGGTTCAGTTTGCCTCAGCACAGCATATACATTATTGATCTGTAGTGTTTCATGAGGCTTTTAATATTTGTTCCTGTTTAACATCTATAAAAAGTCAATGGGATAAATCATACAGAGCTTTGAATCTAGGTGTTGTCAATATGCTGCTGACACCCTGCTCTGTTCCTTATCTAAGAGTCCAGGAGCAGCTGCCTCAATGCAGAAACAAAATCTGGAAGCTATGGGCAAGTGAATGAGGTGAAACAAACTGAAGTTGAAGACAGAGGTGATGGGTTGCGGTAATTCTAAAGCTCAGGGGTGGGGGAGTTATGCATCTTTGGGTGTGATGGTATTTAACCCATCCCAGCAGGTTTAAATATTGTTGGAAACATCTCTATTCCTGGATAAACATCTCTATTCCTGGATATTCCTGGATATTCCTGGATGGTGATGGTATCTGGGAGCAATTTTACCCACTCCTTGTACTTATCTACCCTATTTTAGAGCAGAGAAATCTGTGGTGCAGTGACTGATTGTGAATACCTGGACACAAATGTGCTGGTGTCTTCCTTCATGGTCCAAGACCAGTATATTTTAAACAGTGCTTTTACCTGTATGTGAACCATAATTTCAGCCCTGCTATATTCATTACCTGAAGTGAATAGGTAGCAGCTAGGACCAAAGTTTTTATCATAAGTGCCCTGGGGCTTCAAAATGATGAGTTGAATGAAATTAGAAACTATTAGGTTTCATATAGTGTTGCAAAGCTGTTGTAAAAATCATCTATTTCACGTGGCATTTGATAATTCAGACAAATATTGTTATTGGTTGTCATTTTCTTAGGTAGGCTGCAGAACCTTTTTGCACAACTATTTTAAATTGAATTCACTTTTTATATAAGCTTTTGAGCTTGGTATAAGTATATAAATTTAATAAACTAATTCTAAATACATCACACTTAGAATATCTTTAATGTTAGTAAAACATCCAAAAAGTAGTTTGCAGTTTTGAGGGCAAAACGAGTTTTGAACAGAGATAAAATAAATAACTTAAGTGGGGAGGGGAATTAAACATGGAACAACATAGATTCTTAATGAAATAGCATTGCAGTTGCAATGTATTGGTATCCCACTAGATTACTAAATTTAAGATATGTACTGTAGAAAACTAAATATTACATGAGCATTGAATTCGTCAAAACCGTGTATTACATTAAAAGCAGTATTCTGTTACAAGAGTGTTGTGCAACTGTTCAGTTGCAAGCCATTTATTTATTCTTTTCCTTAGATCTCAACACTTGAGACTTAAGCTCTATTCTGGTGTTAGATTGTTGATAAAATTAAACAATTCGGTAGCTTTAAAATAAATTTTAATTTAAATTTGTAAATAACTTGCAGAAAAGTCCCCAAGGTGTAACTCATCCCCTCATATACAGTTGTGCTAATATCACTCTTACTTACCACTTGCCCATTCGCCTGAAGACAATTCTTGTTAAAAGGTTGGTATGTGGAGTTGAATGGTTGCCTGTATTCATAGCCCATCTCTCTACTGAAACATACTGGCCCTTTAGTATTCCCTATAGACTGTGGCTGGCCTTGCTAACTAACCTAAAAGCTATTATCACCAGGTTGTTCTTGCCCATCTTTCCAGCAGAAAAGGTAGGCAAGGGAGGCCATCTGATTTCTGCCTCTGCATTCTGCCTCTGAGCATGTAAACAGCTAGCCTTTCCCCTAATCTTGTAGCTGAGGAGGAGAACAGGGATCACTCTATTTGGATATAAACACTTCTGCAGCCTCAAAATTGGGAGGAATGCTGGTCATGCATTGTGCTTGATAAAGGCTGGCAGCAAACTCGCCACAGCAACTGTGACAAACAGAAATTCTGAGGCAGGTGTATAAAATGTAGCTTATTTATAAATATGTTCATCAATCCTCTACTTTTGTTTCTTTTCCAATTGTGTTACTCTCAAACATGCTGCAGTCCTTTGTGTAATAAAGCATTTTTAATGATAGAAGGCATTAGAAAAAGTTAATGCCTCTGACTTAGACTGGGGGTTTTTTTTCAGACAGCAGACACCATGTTAACATGGAAAGTATGTATGTAAAGGTATCAATTCTTGAAATACATTTTACACCACAACTCCTACAAGCTATTTTCAGTAAATCATTGAAATTCAGAAAGGGTACAGTCAAAATTAATTGTATAACTTCCTGATTCCAAATAGTTGCAAATAAAGCATTCAAAAATAGTAGGTGTTCAGATGTTCATTTCTTGGAGTAGCACTATGGGATGGAAAACTTTCCAGTGCTCTTATTTTTCTGTAGGAAAAAGAAATAAATGCATAAGCTCATTAATAAAAATGAAAGGATACCAATAGCAGATAAGTACTAGGCAAACTTGGCAGTTGCAGGATTGTAAATTATGTTATAATTTATTCTTAGCAAATATTTAAGAGAATGCTTATATGTCACTCAAAACTTCAGGTGCTTCAACAACCTAAGTAGAAGAGAGTTGAACTCTATTGAAGTAGACAGGTGGTTGCAAGTATATAATGTGCAGTTCATTTGAGTTGCTAAAATTAATTAGCGTGGTCTTCTCCAGCCTATCTTTGAATATGTGTTTGCCTACTACTCTCTGCATCCCCAACCAGCTGATTTAAGACTTCTAAGAGTTGTAATTCAAAATATTTAGCATGCTCCAAATTGGTGAAGGCTGAATTAATATGCCAAAAGTTTTTATTAATTTCTTATATTTGTTTCTCATATTTAGATGAAGTAGATACTGTTACCTTTATATTTTAACAGGGTTTAGGGTTTTATATTCCAATAATATAATACATAAATCACACTAAGTTTGCCTTAATTTTACTCCCAAAATAATTCAGGTGAGGTACCACTAGTATATTGGGACATAAAAAACCCACAGGGCATTTTGTTGTTTATCTTACTTCTATTTTATAAATATGACAAATTAAAGCCCTTTCTAGGTTTTTCCAGTGCAAACTGAACATTTCCCTAATGCAAATAACCCTATGTAGATTAGCCTAATATACTCAGAAAAAAATACCAAAATTTCCAAATCACTGGCATGGAAATTTAGTATTATTTAGGGACTATACTAAATTGGTGCAAACTTGAAATTTTAACACTTCTATCAAGTTTCATCTTGGATATTTAATATAGCCTCTTGTATTAAGCTGCAAACATCTAATTTCTAAAATGAGACAACTTGTTAGGAAATCACACTCATGAGCCTTGGAGGGTTGTTACCCTAAGTCTATAAGTGTAGGAATTATCTTTAGTTATAATGGGAATAGCATCTTGTTTAATTCCTTCACATGTTAAACGCTAAGCAGAGCATAAAAAGCAATTACAAGCTAAACACTGTTGAGCTTTGGATAGAGTTATTTGGGGGCATTATTTTTTTAACCTGTATTTGAAATGCTTGTTGTAGATGTAGTCACTTTTAATTTATTTAGAAAAGCAGGCAAGTATTTCCTGTGCTAATACTTTGGGGCTGCTTCCAGGTATGCTCTTCCATAATTGCACTCTAAACATGCATTCAGAAGTAGACTCAATATGTTTTTAATGTGGGAATGTTTGTGTAAAATGGCAGGGCAGTGTGATCTTTAATGCATACATAATCCCAAACTAAAGATAATACCAGCAGCTGTTCTATTGTCCATTTCACCATTCCCATTTTCAGAACATTAGCTATAAGGCTCACCCACCCTGTGCTAAAGAGGCATAGTTGCACAACTTGAACAGCACTGCCTCATTTTTTTCCATGGGCATGTGCTATAAGCTTTTTGTAGCAGGGGGTAAGTCTTCAAAAAAATTTCTGAGCACACAGAATCAATTAATGATTATTTGGATTCTGGCCATTATCTTTAAAAGGTAGATGTTCATATCATTGTGTTATGGTTGAAACAAATGCACCTGAATTTTACATTTTCTTTCCTCTTCCTGTTTGCCAATCTTATATTTTACAACTCACATAGTCCCCATGGCAACCAGGAATTCTATGCAGGTGAGTGCATGTCTCTAAGGAACTGAATAAGGCTTCTGAAGGAGTGACAAAGTGATCTTTCCCTCCTGTTAACTGCCCATGGAGGAAGCCATCTTCCTTTGTGGTGATAGCACATGAGCTAGTGAAGCAGGGATAGTTCACTATGTGGCCTTTTGAAAAGCCTGTTTGACTTTAGCATTAGCTGTAAAGGCCTTGCTTCTTGCAGCAAACTGGCAAAGGAGAAAAATTACAATATTAGTCCTTTGCTAGCACGTTGCTCTTCTAGTCTTTAAAACTTTTAACTATCTAACATTTTGCTCATTAGAGGAGTCCATCTTGTGAATAAAAAGGAAATAAGTCAAAACAATTTTGCAAACTAGCAGCATTACAGGGCACATTTATTTATTTTATCCTTCCCTTTCTCCTTTCAAGGAATTGAAGCGGGGTTTACATAATCTTCTCTCAGTTGTATCCATACACCAACCCTGTAAGTTGGTTGGGCTGAGAATCAGTGGCTGGTCCAGAGTCATCCAGTGACCTTTGTGGCCAAGTGGGGACTAGAACCCATATCTCTCAAATCCCAGTCTAACACTCTAACCACTACACTGGCTCTTTTAATATGTAAAAACAAAAAGGCTGTTATAACAATTATTTAAAGCCACAACTCTTGTCAACAATAGAAGTATACTCAATAATGATCAGAAAAGTTATCAACTTGGCAAGATGACACATTTCCCCTCCTTTTGCCTGACCATATTTTACAGAAACCTAGGAGAGCTTCATAAACTTGCAACTCTGATTTCCAGTATGAGAACTCTTCAGTGATGTTGAAAAAGTTTTCTGGAGGATTGCCTGTTTGCCAAGTTACTTCCCTTAACTGATTATCCCCTAATAAACAGTATTTATTTGGAGATGCTAGCGTGTTAATTAGCTTTATTGGCCTTTTATTGCTGGGCTATGAAACTGCTGTTTCAATAGAACTCTTTGTGTAAAAGCTGCTTTACAATTCCTGTCCTGTTGAACTTCTCAACAACCTTATTTTGGTTGACTGATGGTGAATTAACCAGCATGGCCACTTTCATGGCTCAGTAAGTAGAGTTATGGTGTTTCTACAAATTTTGATACCATGGGAGGGAATTTTTTCCCTATTTCTTAAAAGAAAAAAATTTTGGTGGGAAATTAAACTTGCATATCTAACCTAAACTTTTCATTGACTGCTTTTATTACTGTAAGATGCACTGGACTAGATCCAGTTTTGCTTATACTAAACCAAATGAAATCAGTAGGATGTAAATTAGTTGATTAGATAATAAGACTTACAGATTACAATGGGTAAGTATGACTAATTCTGTGTCCAACCCATTATTTATAATTTAGTGACTAAAATTGCATTTTGTATATTTGTGAAATGTACAGAGCAATCTTAAGCATGTTTACTTAGGCTCATTATAAATGCCTTGGTTATTTACAAGCAAAATTACAAGTATGCCCATTACTAAGCACAGCTGCCTTAAACCTTTTACTAACCTAAGCATGTGTAACTTAGTTTTTCCTATCTGAAAATAAGGCAAAAATAAAAGTTGAATATGGAAATCATAAATTTTGTTCTAAAGAAAAACAGTATATTTAGATATTGAATTAAATAATGAACAGATCTGGATATTTTATGTCTACTTTATACATAGGAATTATTCTCTAAAGCTGTAGATGATTTTACCTAAAAATATTTATACCATACATTTTGAGTCAGAAAGGTCTTGCCATAAAGCATCTAACTGATATGAGAATTTTTTAATGTTTCCCAAAATCTTAATGTGCCTGTTGGAAAAATTAAAATGTCTTCATGGGAGGATGTGATGTTTCCCATTAATTTTTCCCCTACATCTTTCATGTATCTATCAGTAATATCGATTTGGATTTTAGACTTGCCAGACTCAACCAAGAAGTCTGTTCCAGTGGCAGGAGTCAGGCTTGTTACAAAGGCCTCATTGTGAGATGAAGAGAGATTTAATAAGAGATGGAAGTTTTAGTTAATTGCACTAATTGACTTCTTATTGCATCCCTAATATAGCAAAATAGTTTGGACAAAAGAACTTTGGTTGCTTGAGGATAAATGTACTCTCAAGCCAAATCTATTTAGAGTGTTACAGTTATTTGTAGCGTTTTACTTGTGTATGGATTTTGAGGTTATGTAACAGAGTATTGCATTTGAAAATTTAACACACATGCTTCACAATAATTACAAGCATAATGTAATACAGATCTGAGTACAGTTCAGGTAGTACCTGCCATTCCTTTTGTTTAAGGCAAGATAGAAATGTAATCAACTAAATGGCTTTGCAGAGTTTGCTAACTTGTTCAGGTTAAGTACGCAAAAGAGTATTAAAGCTGCAGTCCGATGGGAGTAAACTCTTCGATATTGACGTCTCCATTGACACCTACAATATTACACTGTAAAGTTACTTGCTTGTGACCAGAACTTTCCCAGTAATTTCATACTACACTTTAGTTTTTACCCTCCTAAATTCCACTGCTAGGAAAGTAAACCCTGTAGGTAAATGTTGATTGAAAGGATTAATGCATAGAAAAATGTATCTGGCTTTCTGACTACTATTATACATATCTTTAGACAACTTAAAGCTTATTTAACAGGAGAGGTTTTGAACATTATTAATAGTTTTTCTATTAAACCCATCCACTTCTTTTGGCATGTTAAATTTGCTTAGGGCGATGTGGTGAATTTAAGTAATTGTTTACTGAAGCCCATTTCTTGATTTGAGCTATATAAGGTAATTTCATGCATTAAAGTTGGTGATGTGTGAGGTTATTAAGGCACCATATTTTTGCAGGCATCTTCTGGAAATGTTTTTTTGCTGTTGAATTACTTTGGTAACACAGTAAGAGCACTATACAACATAGGTTGCTGTGAGAACTAAAAAGTGTGGATAGTATTTTGATATCAGTTTATATCCCCAGTGTACAAATAAGATTCATAATGCCTAACTCTTAGAGCCTAGCTCTTTGATTAAAATTGACATGAGAGTACTTCTGGCTCTATTCATTAGTTTGTTTGTATTCCTAGTTTCCTCCTTTAGGTGTACTACTGCATATGCGCAGCTTCTTCCATGATTCTTTGTTTGATGCCTGTGTTGCTTTGATCAAGTATAGAATAACAGTCGCAGTCCTCTAGATAACTTTACATATGCAACATTATTGAACTTAAATTATGCTACCAAAACCATCAGTTTAACTTCATTTGTAGCTTACTATACAGATAATTCATAGCTTCAAACAGGAGATAAACCTGATGCCTAAACAGTAAGACCAATTTAAATATCTGTGACCAGGTTCCAAATACCTGTACCTAGTTCTGGGTACTCAAAGCTAGCTTTGTTTTTCTTTTCTTTTCTTTTTTGTTTTGTTTTCTTGAATACATATATCCTATGCTGCCTGGTAAACCTCTTAAAAATTATTAATGTCAGGCATTTCCCTAGGTTTGCTTAAGTGTCTGGGTGCATGTGATATTGGTGTTGGATCTTGGCCTTTATGTTTTGTTTTTTGAAACATCAGACAAGTCTTAAGATAACACTTAAGGATATATACACACACACACACATATTATGGAATTGAAAAGAGATTCAATTTAAAAAGGGAATAGACTAGATAAGAACATTTGGGAAATGCTGGAAGGAAATCAGTGGATTCATGATTAGAGACTATATGATTACACCAGTTACAAGATTTTTTTTTAAAAAATGCTTTTATAAACTAGTTATTTGCACTTCATCTGCTGGCTATTCCATTTTGGTAGATAAAATTCTGAAATTCCAGCAGAGTTTTATAATCCCCACATGCTTAAATATACTAAATGTTCTTTTTCCATTAAGGTTAATGTTCGTGAAGAAATGGAAGAGTTTTTTCCAAGAATGTGGAAGATAAATCAAGATAAAAGAAGGCTAATGAAAAGTGTTAAAGATCAGAAAATTAAAATTGAATGGGGGAAAAAATTGAACAGAAGATTGGTCAGATAGAAGCACTTGAATATTTTTAAGGCTATAATGAATTGTTTGAATTGGGGAAGAATACACGAAGTATGAAAAATGAAAAAATGAAGAATGAAGAAAAGTAGAAAGCAAGAGTGAAGTAGAATTAAAAGAATCTGGAAGAATGAATGGGTCCTAGGTTAAGTAAATGTATGGTTTATGTTCCAGTGTCTGTATGATCAAGTTGTAGATGAATTTGCATGATTACTTAGTTAATAGAGCATTGGTCATCTGGTTCAAGTAGGGAACTATTTGAGGAAATCACAGTGTTAACAGTGGGTTAAACAGAATTCTATCCTGGAGGGTATTGCCTAACCATTTGTTTTTCAGGCACAATCAATATAATATAGTTACTTTTAATGTAAGAAGTTAGGCATTTATGCAACCAGTACCATTTGTAATACTGCTTTTTTTGTTAGGAGTCACGCTCCCAGTCAAAATCTCCAGCTGGGAGTCCTGCTCGTGTAAAATCTGAGAGCAGGTCAGGATCTCGTAGCCCATCAAGAGCTTCTAAACATTCTGAATCACGGTCTCGATCAAGGTCAAAATCCAGGTATGTATATGAGCTGTTACTAATTCTGTTGAGTGAATCTTTTCATTGTGTATGATTAGCTTCTTGGTTGGTCTTTCACATTTTAAGTTGTTTTGGGGAAACATTTTAAATTGGTCATTTTAGGAGAACTTTGTATGAATGGTTTCTAAGTGCCAGACCTTGTTCACCAGCAAATTATACAGTTATTCAGATTACCCTTAACAGCTGAGACTATACTATATTGTGGCCTAGTGCAGCTGCAGCTGCCTCGTGGCAGTGTTTCACAATGTTGGTCAATCGATGTCACACTGTAGTGCATATTAGGTTTGCAGCAAGTCCATCATGGTACTGAGGTGTATGGAAACATAAATGTATAAACTGTAGAAAGAGCCGTGTGGCTATTGTGATGGTCTGTAAAACATAAATAATAAAAATAAATATGTAGATATAAGTAACAATGATTCCTACCTTTTCTGGACAGAGCCTCATAGATTTCTAGTATATAAATCTCATCCTGAAGCATGAGGAGATAAGTTTCCTTTCAGGTGTTATTCCATGTACAGAGGAAGTGAAAATTCCTCAGCCTGCCATTCCACACTATGTAGTTGTAAATGTTCTTCTTGAACTGTTGCCTTGTAGAATAAAAAACTTCATGCCCTAATTGATGACTAGTAGATGTATAAATCTTCCCTTTTCAAATATGTAAGTAATTACTGTCTTGAATGAAACGTGTACGGTTGACAATTACTCTAAACTGTTATGCTCTGTATGAATGACATGTGCATGTCACATGATTTCAGTATAAATGAGTTTTGGAAATTACACTTAGGCTGCAGTCTTGTGGGTTGCATGCCTGATAGAGGCCTTTGAGTTTGGAACTTTTGCCTATCCTGTACACTCCCAGTAAAAATTGTGCATTGAAATGGTATTTTAAATCTTCCATTTAAAAACTTAAAACTGCTGGCTGATTTGCCAAGGCCACAGTGGAACCCAGGTTTACCCCTTTCTACGCATCAGCACGACCTCTTTCCTACCTTGAAGCTTTCCATAGTAACTGAGAGGGTCAAGGGATGATCTCTTGTCGGGTATCCTCAATGCTAGGGGCCTGAACATAAAGATTCATAGCATTTTATAGCATTCCAGATACCATCTTGGGGCCAGAGAATTGCTCTATTCACTATTCTGGTTACTTGTCTATTTAGAAGTAATTGATGAAAATTTAAAGGACCATACAGTGGCTAATTGTAATGAACTCTTGTGAAATACACTGTTTCAGAAAATAAGAATGTTTAATGAAGTATAATTTTTTTAAAATTAACATGGGTTTGTGAAAACTTGACAATTAATTGTGACAACGTGTAGGAGGTGTTTGCACATGAAACCATTTTATCATTTTCAGGTCCAGATCAAGAAGGCATTCTCACAGACGTTACACTCGCTCTAGATCCCATTCACATAGAAGAAGATCACGAAGCAGGTCATACACACCAGAATATCGGCGCCGAAGAAGTCGCAGTCACTCTCCAATGTCTAACCGAAGAAGGCACACTGGCAGCAGAGTATGTAGTGTAAGCCTGTAGGAACATTATTTATATTCCAGTTCAAACAAATGTTATAAATGCAGTTCATCTAATTAATGTGTTAAGTGGTAAGTTACACATCTACATTATTGTATTTTTTCTTTGATCAAGAATAAAAGGAATCTTGACATTTTTTCTTTGCTAAGCCTAGTAGCATTCATCCTAGGTAACAGTTGTATTTCCAGATATGGAGAAAAGAGACAATATTAGCAAAACATCCTCCCTGTTTTTCCTTTTTGGGACAGGGTGAAAATGCTAGTGGCTTTATAACCAACCATAATTGGCAAGGCACCAGAAGTACTTATTTGCAAGGCCTGTGCTAGAAAACTTTGATACTTAATAGTTTTCAATAAGATTGACAGTTAAGATGGTTTCAGTTGGGCATGAGGAACTTAAATCCTTGCTCATGTGACTAGGTAGTCTTGGGTAGAGTGCCCTCCAGATTTTTTTGGTCCTTGGGCAGTACTGTCCCTGTGTCATTTCAATATCTCAAATTATGCTGTTATTAGTGGAAGCTAAATTCTGAACTATGGACAAGAGAAGAATCCAGTTAAAGTTAACATTTGTGTTAGCAGTTGTGCATTATGCTTGTGCAACCATAATGGATAATACCTTCTCAGAAGATTCTGCAGTGCGTTGTTAGCGTTATACTAGTCTAAGGAGCAGTATCACTGAATACATCAGCCCCAGTCAGCATAGCCATTGTTCAAGATTATAGGAATTGTAGTCTAAAATATCCAGAGAGCTCCAAGTACAACCCCCTTGCTAGTTTCAGCCAGAGCATGGTTGTGATAGCAGCACTCTGTGGATATTGAGGATAGGGTGGGAAAAGGAAATACAGAAAATACTTTCATTATTGCTCCATGTAGTAATTCTTTGGTGAACAGAACATCAGCTAAAAACTGTTGGTTTGTTACATACCAGTGTAAATCTGAATTTTATTTAAGAAATTAGATCAGATTTAAGACATATAAGGACCATAAGAGACTGTAGGTCAGAGACCTCAGCTGGTGTGTAACACCAGGGGGGATTTTTCTAATTAGCTTGTTCAATTTAATCTGTTTAAAGTGTGGTCTTTATAGTTTAAATATAATTTCTATAGAATTTGAAATCCATTCGGAAACATGAAACAGATACTTTCGATGCATATCTTAGATGTCTTTAAACAACCTATGCATTAAAATGATTATACCTTTTAAAATTATGATTTAGCTGCAATTAGATCTTAAGGTGTTTCAAGACTAAGAATTCCATCTGCCCACCTTTAATCTCCTTTTATCAATGGGAAGAAGCTTAAGATGGATTTATCTGATCCTTTCTACTCTCTTCAGAGTATTAGAGTATACATGTGGGGGCAGTGGCATAAAATGAGTAGTGCAGTAAAGCAAGTAGTATCTCTTGGGTGCTTCCTCTTTTTGTAAATAAGGCACTAAGGGAATTAAAAAAAACCTGTTTGTTTGATAGAAGGAAGTTGCCTCCATTTTCCCTTTCTGTTCAAAAACAGCTTCCTAAAATATGCAGCCTCCAGATGGTTTTGAAAATGCAATGTTATGCAGTTTTTGTTGTCCATCATTAGATAATAAATACATATTTTCACTGGAAAGCTCAGAACCGTTAATATAACTAATGGTGAAGAATGATGGGAGTTGCAGTTCCAGCATCTTGCAGCTCCAAGTTGTGCACCCCTGTTACAACTGGCGGTGTTTATAGGTATTGCTTAATACTGAATTTGGTTCATTTTTCAGGCTAATCCAGATCCTAATACATGCCTTGGAGTGTTTGGTCTCAGTTTGTATACTACTGAGAGGGATCTTCGTGAAGTTTTCTCCCGCTATGGACCCTTAAGTGGTGTCAATGTGGTATATGATCAACGAACTGGGCGATCAAGAGGATTTGCTTTTGTTTATTTTGAAAGAATAGATGATTCAAAAGAGGTAAAACAGATCTACATTCTTTCTGGACAAGTTCAGTCTTTTTTACATAACTGGTATCTCTGAGGAGTTAGTTGGTACCCTTAGCAAACAACCCTATGACTCCTAGACAGTGTTCATGTTGGGGGAGGGGCTTTAAAACCATTTTGACTCCCAGATCCAGGGGGGAGAGTGCTCCAACATGGAAACTAGGTATTGGACCTCTGATTCCTTTCCATCATACCAGCTGTTTTCCGAGGTCAGAAAAGTGACCTCAGGAAGGAAGCAAGGAGAGGAGACCAGACCAGCCAAGATAGGTTTCCTGAGGCTACTGTGGCCTCCTCTTCCCTCCAAAGCACATCAGTTAGATAGCTGAAAACAACTATCTGACAAAAATGCAGATTAAGAGGAGCAGGAAGCCAAGGATTGCCTGCACAATTTCTACTCTTTGAAGGATGCCTGAAAGTCTCTAAGTTCAGTGGCTTACAAGCATCTTGATTGGGTTGTACTCTTAAGTGTCTACCTCTGGAATCCTGTGAGCATTTGCTGATCTGGTTTGCGGGAGGGGGTGTCTCTGAATGACTCCTTTCAGCCTATTCAGTTAATTTCATTTTAGCATGCCATATGAAGCCTAAACTGTAGTTAATCTTAACTGTACTTTATTGAAAAAGCTAGCTTTGTAAACCAGGGTTTGTTATTACAGTCCAAATGAGTCTAATAACTTGTGAAGAGCAAAGGGTGAAGATTTAGACCTAACTAACAAGTAAAAAATACCAGATAACCAAGCCAGATAGTGAACTTTCGTGAAATTATCGACACTATGTAATTTATTGTTGAAAATCAGCTTAGATCTGAAAAAAGAATGTAGAAAATCATCAATTGTCAACTTTACTTCTGTGCCAGTAAAAAGTTCTGGGTGTTATAGAAGCAACATAGGCATGAACTGAGTTTTCATAATGAACAAAAGTCAGAGGGACAGGTTTTCCCCAAGAAGTGTGTTAAGTGGTGATTAATTTCTAGAATTGGGCTAAATTAGATAGAACAATATCAGATTATCTAGGATGAAATCCGCAAAGGGGGAAGTCCTCTCTCACTAATCTGTTGGAGTTCCTTTACTTGGATTTTCACAAAGTCCCTCACCAAAAGCTCCTGAGCAAACTTCACAGTCATGGTCCCCTTATGGAGCACTAACTGGTTAAAGAACAGAAGACAGTTTCTCAGTGGAGGGATGTAACGAGTTATATCCGTAAATGATCAGAAACTAGGAGTGAGCAGTGTGGCCAAGATCACTGATGACACTGAACTATTTAACAATGCCTGTTAAAACCAAAAGGGATTGTCAGGAGCTCCAAAGGGATCTTTCCAGGCTGGGATAACAGGCATTGAAATGGCAAATGTATAGCAGTATAAGCAAATGTAATGTAACCCAAGTACAGACTGATGGCATCTGAGCTACCAGTGACTGAACAGAAAAAGGATTTTTGAAGTGGGGTGGACAACTTGATGAAAAGGTTGGTTTAGTGTGCAGCTGCTGTGAAATAGGCAAATCCCACATTAGGAATCATTAGGAATGGAATAGAAAATTGAACAGCCAAGATTGTACTTCCCTAATATAAATCCTTGGTATGACCAATCTTAAAATACCATGTACAGTTCTGGTTGTCTTACCTGAAAAAAGGACATTATTTAGTTGGAAAAGGTACAGCTAAGGCAATGAAAACAATCAAGGAACTGGAGCAACTTCCCTAATAAGGTCTACAACGACTGGGGCAAGAATGGAAAGACATTATAGAGTTGTTTAAAGTAATACATGCCTTGGAGAGAAAGAGGGAGGCATTTTTCTTCCTCTCCGATAACATTTGAGCCTGGGGTCATCCCTTGAAGCTGATTATTGGGAGGTTTAGACAAGGGAAAGTACTTCTTCACACAATGTAGTTAAACTATGGAATTCACTGGTGATAGCCACCAATTTGGATGGACTTAAAAAGGGATTGAGCAGACTGATAGAGGGAGAAGGCTATCTGTGGCTACTTCCCTTGTTGGCTATGTGCTCCCTTCTTTACCAGAGGCAGCATGTCTGCATATATCAGTTGCAGAGGAGCTTGGGAAGGCAGAGGTCTCATCTGTTCTGATATGTGAAATACATATTTAGGATATTTAAAAGTTTTAAATGCATAATATATAATACACACTTGGTCTGCTGTTTACTGTATTTCTTAAATATTTTTGGTTGCTCTTCATAAAAAAAGCTATTTGTTCTCAGTATGATACACATGGAGCAATGTTTTTTTTTTTAAATCAAAATGTTGAGTGACTTTGATCCCTGAAATTGAACCATTATGCTCTATATTTCTGTTTGTAAATACTCCAAGTTCATGTGAATCTTTTAGCTGACATTTCAGATCTGAGATTGGTAGCCTTTTTTGTGACTGTGTTTGTTAGGAAAACATTTTTTCAAGTTAATTTAGAGTAACTGTGTATAGATTAAAATATGGTTGAGAGGCTATGGTGCTTTATTTTCAGGATTGTGCTTCCTGTAGTGTGGACCAAGAATCTTCAAAAATAGTTTTATGCTAAGAAAATATATTAAAAAATCACTAGGTGGCGTTACAACCTACAGTTAATCTGATTTAAATAACTACTAAATAGAGGTGTGGAATGTTCTAGCCTTAGTTTCAGTTTAATAAAATATAAACAGTGGCCATATGGAACTAGCATTATTTTTCTCCTTTAAATTAGCTTAGGACTTAGATGCTGGGATTTTTTTCTAGGAAAGTACTTCAAAAATTCAAGAAAAGAAAATTTCAGTAACTGAACATTATGGCTTGGATCCAAAGTTGCATTTGTATATCCAATAGTTTTCTGCTTAGAAAAGAGCTGTTTTATCCCACTTTGTACTAAGCTGCTGTTTGGAGAAATGGAAGCATGAGAGCAACTAGAGAATTCATCTGTTACAGAAATCATGTTCTGCCTATGTGCAGAAAGGTTTCTGCACAGCACTGGTAAATAGTTTTCTTTCGACTAATATTCCTTGGATTCCGTATTTTGTGATAAATATTCCAGATACCAGTGTGATATAAGTAATATTTATTGAATAGTTGTAGATCAATCAGGTAGTTTCATCTGTTTGATGGCATAGAAATGAACTTAATAATAACAACAACAAGAACAACATCATTGTAAATATAGAGGGTAATATGGTAGTTTAACTCAAGTTTATTTTATCTATTTGTAAAGAATTTATTAAGCAAAATAATTACAATATGTTTTCTATTAATACAAAGTTGGTAGCAAACAAGCATTCCCTTCATAAGCAAAACTAAACAGAACTGTTTTAACTTAGGTATATTTGCTGCTAGCTTCTTAAACTAAGTCTCCATGTATGTGGTTTGGATGACTGAGAATTAGTCTAAAAGTCATTCAGTGAATTGATAAGGCACAGAAGCAGGAAGCTTTCACATCTCTTAGTGTATGGGAAATAGAGGCATCCTTAATGTATTGGTTGAGCAAGCTCTGTGCAGTGACTGAGCGGAGAAAAGAATAGTAATTAGAAAGTCATATAGGCGGAACCCACCATTTTACTAAGCTATGCTGGAATAGGTGCTTGCAAAGGAGATGGTAGAAGATGAGGAAAGCATGAAATGGCAGCCGACTAGCAGTAACCCAGCCTTGTGCACCCTGCAGGAAGCCACAATGCTGTACTCTCCTGATCAGCCCATTCCCTTGTGCCTCCCCTCAGAGCAAGTCATTGGAGGATGTGTTTTGCTGCAGGGGAAATAGTTGCTTGTTTTGCCTTTTTGGCAGGCTTAATGGCAAAGTGTCAGAGATGCATCAGCTCCTTTCTTGTTTGCAGAATATCATCTTGAAAGGGGATCACATTTCACTAATTTTAGTGCCCCCAGTCAGTTTAGCTATTTTAATTTTCCTGCTGGAAAAGAGAGAGCCCACTGTGATTAGCAGGTTACTAATAACAGACAAGTTGATTTTGCTTAATGACAGTAAGAACTGATTTCTTGTTACTACAACTAGGGTCCCTCTACCTTCTTTGCAGGCAATGGAACACGCAAATGGCATGGAGCTGGATGGCAGGCGGATCCGAGTGGATTATTCTATCACAAAGAGAGCGCACACGCCCACTCCTGGCATCTACATGGGCAGGCCAACCCAGTAAGAAGTTAACTCATAAATAATTTTGTCATTCAGTTATCAGTAGTGTTCCTAGTTTCTTTGAACATCTCATTTTTAATCCATTAATTGTTTAAGAAATTCATTCTGAATGTCTATTTAATGGTCTTTAAATGTGAGCTTAAGGCCTAAAGAATATGAGGCATTGATTTGACTCTGTGTTGAAATTAAGTTATTGGGGATCTGACCAGGTTATTTAGGCACAGTATATGAGTTCTCTTAAATCTTGGTATAAAGTTTTCAGTCTGTTTCTGATATATTGCATAATACATCTGGTCTTTTCCCCCCATCAAAAGTAGCGGAGGTGGTGGCGGTGGAGGAGGAGCTGGACGTCGCCGTGATTCCTATTATGACAGGGGATATGACAGGGGATATGACAGATATGAAGAATATGATTACCGTTACAGGTACTCATTCTGGTTCTTGGGGATGTTTACAATAAGCACTATATTATTTTGTGTTAAACATTTTATAGCCTTCTAAATTTCTGTCCATTTAGTGGTATCTGGTTGTTCCAAATGTAATTCTTACATTCATGTAAATACTTCTGTTGAGCATTTATAGCCCACTTTTCAATGTATGTAACACTTCCAAAGCAAGTAACAATAATTTAAATAAAATATGATTAAAAAGAAAATTAATCAAATAAATTTCTAATACAGATGAGGCAGCATTAGAACCTAATAAAATAAAGAATCAGAACAGCTCATTACAAGAACTAATGTTCTGCTTGTCCAATAAAAACAGCATATAATCATAAGTGTGTTTTTCACATAAGTATAAATAAAGGGTAAGTAAGTATGGATTCAGCAAGGCTAGAAGAAAACTAATCTTGGAGACAACTTTCCTACAAGCTGTTTAGCTGGCAAACTGCATGTAGTGGTATCACAACTTGATATACAGGACAGCGTGGTGGTTGAGTTTATCATTACTTGCCAGTCCAATGATTCTATGCAGCATGGGTCACAGCTTGTTGCAATAGCACCCTTCATTTAAAAGACTGGAAAATAGAGAATAGAAACATTTGTATGTAGAAAAAATGGTTCATGTAGTATGTTAAACGTGCATCTCAGGACAGAGGTATACAAGGAATGCACAGTTAAAATGAAAGGGCCCAGCACAGAACCCCAAGGTTTGCTTTAATCACAGGTACAGCAGGAGTTCTTCAAAAAAGTAAGGTAGCACTTCTGTAGTAAAGGGAAGAGGTAAATTGAAGACGGTCCGGATACTTCAATTGGTTCAAAATAGAGCTGCCAGGCTGCTGAGGTGGACTGGGCGTTATGTTCACATGACTCCAATTCTGCATCAGCTTCACTGGCTTCCCATTGAAGTCTGGGCCCAGTTGGTTATGACCTATAAAGTCCTTAACGGTTTGGGTCCTGGTTACCTGAAGGAGCACTTACGTCCATATATGCCCCCCTGCCCCTTGAGATCTGCGGGAGAGGCCCTTCTCCAGGAACCCTCCATGAAGGAAATTAGGAGGGTAGGTACTTGGAGGAGGGCTTTCTCTGCGGTGGCGCCCAGTCTATGGAATGCACTCCCCAGAGAGGTCCACCTGGCGCTGTCGTTACTTGTTTTTCGGTGCCAAGAGAAGACCTTTTTATTCAAATGTTATTTTAATTGTTAATATTATTTATTTTATTCTTTGGCCAGGGTTATACTGTTATACTGTTAAATTATATTGTTCTATATTATGTTATTTATGATTGTGAGCCGCCCCGAGGCTTCGGTGAATGGGGCAGCATAGAAGTTCTCTAAATGAATGAATGAATGAATGAATGAATGAATGAATGAATGAATGTCTTTGAGAGCACTTAAATACAGAATTAGAAGGGAAAGATCTCTTCCTTTTACCTCATGTGCATGAAACATAACTTTTTTTTTTTCATTCAAAGGAGGCGATCACCTTCACCTTACTATAGTCGTTATAGATCACGATCAAGATCTCGCTCCTACAGCCCACGTAAGTATAACTATTCTATGTGAAGATCTCTCCCCTGCCCTACCCCCCAAATCTTTTAAGATTTTGGCAGGAAGGGAATGCAGATGTGAAAGTACATTGTTGTTGGGAGGAGGGAGAAATAGAACGTGGGTGTATGAACTGATGGTTACAGTGTTCTCTCTTCCTTCTTTCAGGGCGCTATTGAAGAAGAGAAGCTGGTTACAGTTGCAAATACAATTTTTAAACAGCAAATTCTGACCTTAGCTTTTCCTATAGATACCCTGCAGTTATCCTAAATCCTATTAAAGATCCTTGGTTCATTTAGAATATATGTATTTTCAGTTGAAATACCAATTTTTCATCTTTTCTTATTGTAATAGTCCAGGTGTGATTGTTGTAGTTTTGTGTACTTAAATATCTTTAAACAACAGCTAAATAGGAATCTCAAAGTGGTAAAATATTTTGTAAATCATTATTTTTTCTTTTTTTTTTTTAAAGCAAGTGGATTTTTGTTGAACTTAATGAGGAGTGGAGAAAGAACTGGTGTGTAAAAGCTTGACTGTTGTATTTCACTAGAAAGCTACTATTTTAATAACCTGTTTATCTTTCTGCCTGATCTTTTTTTAAAAAGTGTTGTCCTGTATGTTTGGTTATAACACAACTCAGTAATAACCATAAGCTTGGGTTTTCATTTATGTTTTAAATGTAGTAATTAGAATAATATTGGAGGGAATTTTGTGAGAACACAAATTGTTGCACGCTGCAAATTCCATCTTTGTGTCATATAAAGTAATCTCAGTGCTAAGAAGGTTACATTTAAAATTAGCTTAAAATATTAAATGGATGTTTCAGGGAATTGTTATGTTTACTGCCCCATAATCAGGACAGGCCTACTTTGCTTGATATAAATACTAGATCTCCTAACAGCAATTGGTATACAAATTATGGTTAAGCAGGTTCTATTTGGTAATTAGAATTAAGCAATTATTACTTACCAAAATAAATTTAAATTCTGCTAATACAACCTTTCAGTAGTTAATATGCATAGGTGTGTTAGGTTTCATTCAAGGATGAGCAGAAATATGTACAATAAAACAAATGGGGCTAATTAAAGTGTTGAATGCATATCTTGACCTCTGAATTCTAGAAGTGTCAGTGAACATCACTTTGAAACAGTAAATACTATGGAACTAGACTGTTATTAAATCCAACATGTGGAAATGAGCTTGAGAATATATAGTCTGATTGCATTAATTAAATGGTAGGTATACTACATGCCGCTGGGCAGAGAGACAGTGCAAAAGTGAACCCTAATAGCTGGAAAAGGACAACTGGGCATGCAAAAGACACTGATAATGCCCGATAGTGAGAGAAGCTCCCCACAAACACCAAAATCAGCAGAGGCTCAAGGCTGTTCATGTATTTTGTTACTAGCATAAGGGCAAATCACAAGTATGATTCCTCAGCGGAGCAAAGTTGGAAATTCGACTGAAGAGACATTGTAATCACTAGGGATTAGCATCTTGGTATTTCTCCCAACCCAAACCACAATCAATATAATATAGAAGTTAGTTTTTTTTAAATAGCTCATTCTGGGAGCAATCACCAGTCTCTGATAAAAATGTTAGGGATGTTCTATCAAATTGTGTACATAAGAAGGGTCTTTAGTCCAGTATGTTTATACTGCAGCCAGCCAGATGCATAAATAGGACATGAGTCCTAACAGTACACTTTTCTTAATGTTCCCCAGAGATACAGTGTGTATAGGTATACCAGCTCTGATACTGGAGGTAATGTCAGTGTGACTAGTGGTTAGCAATAGCCTTCGTAATGAATTTGTCAAATTCCCCTTTAAAGCCACACACATTGATTGCCATCATTACATCTCATCATAGCAAATTCCATAGTTTAACTGACATTTCTATACCACCCATAGCCAAAGCTCTCTGGGTGGTTTACAATCATCATGGAATCATACACTCAAGTACACATCCATATTCTAACCAGGCCTAACTCTGCTTAACTTCTAAGATTAGGCAGGATCAGGCAGTTAAGACTAAATGGAACAAGTGCTTTTATTTGTCCTGAATCTCCTACCACTCAATTTCATGAAATGACTCCAGATTCTAATAAGAAAAAGAAAAAAAATCCCTATCTCCTTTGTTCAACACAATAGATAATTTTGTATTCCTCTAATGTTTCACCTCACCTTTTTTCTAAAAGAATAGCCCCAGGTGTTGCAATTTTCCTTTATAACAGAGTTGCTCTAGCACCTCGATCATTTAAGTTGTCATTTTCTGTACCTTTTTCATCCATAATACCCTCATTTTGGTGCATTGACCAGAACTGTACACAGGAGTCCAAATGTGATTTCACAATAAATTTGTGGAAGGGCAATATGACACTGGCAGTTTTATTTTCAATGCCTATCCTAATTACACAAAATACGGAGTTTTCTGTTTTATAGCAGTTACAAACTGGGCCAACATTTTCATGTCCTGGCCACTAGAATCTCAATCTTTTTCTTGGTCAGTCATTGTTAGCTCAGATCCCATCTGGGGATGGGGGGGGGGGCATTGTGTACCATTTCAAACTTACTTACATCAAACTACATTTGACATTTGGGCAGTGGTACAGTTTGGAATTATTTGTAATGCCATTTTGTTTTGCCATACTCTATAGGGTTGACTACTTCACTACTCAATCCCAGTTCCAGATCATTCATGAACAAGTTGAAAAGCACTGGCCCAATTCATTTCTCTGTGGGACCCCCCACTGTTTACATTTCTCCATTAAGAGAAATTACCATTTATCCTCACACTCTGCTTTCTGTTCTCCAACCAGTTACTGATCCATAAGAGAACTTTTCCTCCATGACTGTTAATTTTGCTCAGGTGTCTTTGGTAAGAGATTTTGTCATGAATCTTTTGGAAGTGCAAATAAACAACTTCTACCAGTTCAACCATACCATGTTCATTAACTCTCCAAAATTCAGAATACTGAGACAAGATTTGCTTTTATGAATGATGTGTTGATTCTTTTTCATCAAAGTTCGGCTTTTTTTGTGCTTGCTAATTTGATCTTTAAACACTGTTTTCCACCAATTTACCTGGAACAGATTTTAAACTAACAAACATGTTATTTCTCTTGATTCTTTGTATTCCTTTTTAAAAATCAGTGTTTGCCATTCTACACAGGTCGATCATAATGATATGTAAATATATATTTATTGTACTACTTGCTGACTTCACTAAATATAGCAAACCTTTGTGTTTAAAAAAGAGTTAACTGGAAGGCAGCTATAATGAAAATTTAAATATCAAAGTCCAAAGGAAAACTGATACATAGTACTTACTCAGAAAATGAAATTCTTGTAGCACAAAGCATATCTAGAACAGAGGCTTTATCTAAAATAGAATGCAATACCTGCCTGCTTAGCCTAGAACAATATCCCTATAACCAAGGAAAGTTAAAAGCATTCTAATAGCTGGATGTAACAGCAGAGCTCTGGATTCAGTGTATCTTTCCCCATTTATTTGCAGCCATAGATTAACCTCTTTTCTGGCATTAGATTGGCCTGCAGTTTATTGCTTTCATTTGAACTCCTTGATGCTGTCTTGACCAATTCAAAGCTATATTGGTCTGAACTGATGTCACCCCAAAATTTAGGAAGAACAGAATGAAATAGGAGCTGTGACAAGCAGCATGGTTGCTATAGAATCTCTCAAAGCAGTCAATGTGTGAATAAAGTGTTTCATATCCTGTCTTATCTGAAATGTACAGGCACCTGGAATGATCAAAAAATTCACATGCTAAATGAGGAGATAAATTTGGAAAGAGTTGTGTCTGCTCCAGCAAGTATGCTACTGCTAGTATGAATTCAATACCATATAATTTTGTTTCCCCTAAAGGTGTGATCTTACACTAGTTTTGACAGAAATAAGATGTACAGTTCCCAGTAATCCTTAGTCATGCTGGCTGGGGAATGATAGAAGATGTAGGACTTTTATCTGTCTTGGCATGCATACATTTGCACCCAAAATACTGTTAATTTTAAGATTCCTTCCTGTGGGTTTGTCTTTTTTGTCCAGGTCTTTATAGAAGCTTTGAAAGCATAAGTTGAAATGTTTTTGCATCATTGATCAATCTGCTAACTTGTCATCATATAAGAGTTCCCTTTTTTCCACATTTACACATGAGCATAAGATACCCCCACTTTGAGTTCAATTATATGCTTCATGGGTCTTATATGACTATATGTTGATGAATTGATACCCCAACTACTTGAAACCAGTATGGAGTCATGTTACAAAAGGGAATACTTTAGATTTATTATCCCCAAAGGATGGGATAGTACCAGCAACAGGAACATGTGACATTTCCACTGTTGTCATTTCTCTTATTGTTGGAGTTCATATTTGATCCATTGGTGTGATCTGAGATACTGCTAGTTCTTTTTTGACAAAGAATATCCAGTAGCAGTGATTTTCGTTTTCCAGGGTTCTTAATTCTCAATCTTTTCTCTGCTGAGATGCTTGCATCAAAGTGTTGTTCCCTCATCAACTCATTTTGAAACATTGTGTGCTCAGGTGTATTCAAACAGACTTGTTTCAGACCTTACATTTTTTTTAAAAAAAGCCTATTTCGGTTTGCTTCGCCAAGGTGATACAGAGAATATACACAGGAAACTCGGTGCAACATTAAAACATTTAATGTGTCCCTCTCAGACCACCACTGGTGAATTCATAGGAGAGTTGAACCCACAAATCCCTGCCTGATTCATAGGCAGTCTCTTAGCTCCTTGTATATGCTAGAACCTTCTGTTTTAGATAGATGCTACAGTATAGGTGACAGCCTTCAAGATGACATCCTCAGCTGATTTCCACCATACATTGTCATGCCTGTATTCTGTAACTTCTGGATTTAGAAACCTTTATTTGTCCAGATGTACCACTACTACTAGTGCCTGTTGCAGCAAAATTGAGAAGCTTGTCCCAGAGCACCTGAAAGAAACAATGCCTCTGCTGCAGCACTGGCCTTTTCAACACTTAAGGTCAAATGAGATAAATTCACCTCTGATGTTGCTTTCCGAACTCGCATGAGTCTGTTTCTATAACTACTTCGGGTTTTAAAACAGTTTTGAGTTTTACATCCTCTTCGAAGTCATAACAAATCTAATGTCTTTCTACTACATGTATAGTTGGGGCAGCCCCAAATCCTGACATAAGCTCCTGGAAAAAGGCTTAAGGACACTGAAATACCTCAAGGTACATCTCTTTTATGTGATTATAAATTTGATTTGCTATTGTTGCCTTGTCTTCTCTTCATATACATCAGTCCAGGCAGAACACGACATTCCAGCTGATAAACAATATATAGAGCAGCACTAGTTAATCAACACTATGAAAAGGCTGATGCGCCTTACAAGATTGAGCATTGGTCAGTGTTATCTGCACCAGGGATGGAGGACTTCTGGCCAGAGAGAGTCCACAGGGAATTCCTATCTGGCCCCAATTTTCCAGTCCTTGCTCTTCCCCTGCATCTAATATTTCTAGAGCTATTAATGATAGCAGAGGCTTTAAAAGCCCTAGCTATAGTGTATGGGGTGGCTGGGAAAGCATTTTCATGGGAAGATGCTGTTGGGGAAGGAACTCTTGCCAACCATATGATCCCTCTTGAAAAATCAACCCTCCCCTGCCACATTTAGGTCCTCTCTTGGCACCAGTGGAGGCTTAAGTCCCCTTAACCATCATTGTAGTGTGTAGTGGCTGGGGGAGAGAGTCACGGAAAGCAACTGCCTGTCATGTTGACAACGTGGCTAGGTGGACAAGTGGTTTGAGACTGAAAGGCAGTTCCTTATGCTCCTGTGGACTAACCCTTTTCTCCTGGATACAATGAATTTCGCCAAAAAAATCACCCTTGCCGTGCTACAGTGGGACTTGTAAAACCTTCATTAGTACCCATGGAGGTTCTTTAAAAGCCTGTTGTGGAGGGAGGCTGCATGTGAATGAATGGGATTTGAGCAGTGATGTTTGGGGCTGCATGCCAGTACTGGGTAGCACTGTCCACTTGTGTACAGTTGCTGATATGGGACCACCAATCTGCTAGTCCAGAAGTAATTTAAGCTGCAAATGGCATCCTCCTTTATCCTGACCATCAGAAGCTCCCTGGAATTTAGGAAGTATTTCCCAGCCTTACCTGGACATGTCAGAGATTGAAACTGGGACCTTCCACATGAAAAGCAGATACTTTACCACCACCTTATAACAATTGCAATACAACTGTCCTTAATGTCACATCAGCCTGTGCTTTCTATTTTATAATTCTGAGAAGATACTCATTTTACCTCAGTTTTATTCAACCACATGAGTAATTTTCTTCAAAAAGAAAAGAATAGCAATTGCTTGTCCTTTCAGCAGAAAGAGATTTTCTAAGAAATTGCCAAGGTGGTTCTGTACTCCCCAGAAGCCATCTGTCTCCACCACAATATCCTTTTACTGTGACACCAAAAGTCTCCATTTTCCAAGAACAAAGATATTAGCTTACAAATAACCATTCACTACTGAATATTTGTAAAGGATGGAAGTTGCTTTGTGTTTCTTTATCTATGCTGCTTTTGTACATATTTTGCAACAACCAAAGACCTTGGGAGGCTGAATCTGCAGTGCTACACTTCAGGTAATATTGTGGGTCATTTTGTCTTTAACAGGAACAATTTTACAGCAATGTCCAGCACTATGCTAGAATTTCATCCAATAGTTCTCAGCTTCAGTATAGTTCACCTTGCTAAATATACTATGTGGAACAAAAAGTTATTCTAAAAGTATTGAAAGAAAATTAATAATCCTTTATAGTGCACACCATTATGATAAAGGCTGTTTAGTTCCTATAAAGTTCTCACTGCAGCCACCATCACCACTTGCAAAGTCCACAAGTAACTTAGTGGTTAGTTTTAAGTCACTATCTTTAGCGTTCCCAAGAATTTATATGTAAACTGACCCCCTCCGCAAAAAAAAAAAAAAAAAAAAAAGGTGGTGATACCATAAAAAAGGAAGGAATTATGTTTTTAATATGTGGCTTTTTTCTTAATTTCTACTTTGGAACATTTTAGGATGCATTGCCTGAAGTACCAAAGGTATTGCTTTCCAGTGCTAACTAGCACTACATCATAGAAGCCAGGAGCTTGACCGTTGTTTCATCCAAAATACTATTGACACTGATGGTTAATTTATTATCTGCAACCTGCCCAGGGACCTGTGTGGCTAAAAATATAAATAAAACAATGGTAGCTTCTCTCTGGGATTTCTGGCAGATGTTTTTCCAGCCCTAGCTGGAGATGTCAGGGATTGAAAACTGGAATTCCTGCTCCACCCTGGAATTGTGGTCCGTCTCAAAGAGATTCAGTTATGCTGAGAAGATCAGATGTCATGGTTTGCCATTCATTGCCTTGAGATCCGGGCTTTTGCTGCTGTTAAAGAATTTGCTGTCGTAAGATGTAGTGAGGGCCACTGACTTGAATAACTTCAAGGGTAATTGAACAAATGCATAGAGGAAAAGGGCAACTACTCCCGATGATGAAATAGCATGCTCAGTATCGGAGTGAGCATGCCTCTACACCCATCACTGGTGAATGCAAGTGCAGTTCTATTGAAAACATGCCCTACTAGTGGGTTTTCCACAGTTAACTGATTGGCCACAGTGTGTGTGTGTGTGTGTGTGTGTGTGTGTGTGTGTGTGTGTTTATTTATTTAAACAACTTATATGCCGCCCCAACAGGATCCTAGATAAGATGTCTGTATCAGCATGGCTGGGGCTGATGGGGCTTGCACTCCAGAACATCTGTAGGGCACCAGGCTGAAGACTGAAATATTCTGTTGAAGGCAGTCAGCATCAACACTCTGCTTCCCAGCATCCTCAAATACTTCAGGGACTTAAAATGCTTTTTAGATCCACTACTTTAGA